CTGTTCTCTGACTAGCACATCTAAATCTACCTTTCTCCACAGAGCCGTTTGCAAATCCAAATGGCCGATCCCTCTCAGAGAATGACAGCATTTTATTACCTCCCCCCCATCAGAACTCAATTATTCATATATCATGTTCTGCTTCCCGTGTGTGGGGAATGATTTCAAGGATAAGTTTCTTGTGTGGTCAAATTTCCATAGGAGGACCCCTCTCTGACTCCCACTCCCCAGCAGCTGGGAGGACTGGGGGGCTCACAGAGATGGGCACACACTAGGAAGCCAAGCACGGTAGATTTACTAGGGCAATATCTGCAGGTGAGGTAACAGCACATACATACAGAAACCCATGGGCAGAGATACCACCCAGCACCACAAACACCAAAAAAGCAGTGGGGAGGGGGGCGCTCTGGAAGTGGCTTTGGAAAGTTCTCTTGAAAATCAAAGGGCAGCTTTGGTGCTCAGAGATTCAAACAGAAAACTATACAAAACCAACCCATAAATATATATATATATATATATATTATATGTGTATATATATAAAATTGCAAAATAAAAGCTCAAGAAACTAATCATCAATCTGCACTTCAGTGGCTCAAAAAGTGTTAGCGTAGAGAAAGGCAAAACTGTTTGTGGGGACGTTGCAGGATCCAAGGGACTGGCGTTTCAGTAGCAGAAAGAGTATTTACATGGAACCCCTACTGGAAATGTCACAATACCAGGAAAACCCAAACACAGACCATGTATGTACAAGGGAAGACGATTGTCAGACACAGACATTTCACTGAAACCATCCACAGCTTTAGAGAACACCACAGTCTCCACCTAGACCCTCTCCCCGGCCAGGGGAGCACAGGCTTTGAGCTACTTCTCCCCACCCCACCTCTTCCTGGGAGGACGAACACGGGGACTCAGCACTGGTGGTGGAGATGACAGGCCCCATGGACAGCCCCAGTATTCATGAAGTGGAGTTGAAAGGTAGGTTTGGGGGCCCTTGAAATATATTCTCATTTTGCGAGGGCTTTGATCTACATGTGACTCCTCTGTCCTTGGTCCAACTGTCATTCTTCTTCTGATTCACTTGACAAGAGAAGAACCGACCTTTGAACTTCTCAGTTCTATAGCATGACTCACGGGAGGGAAAGTAGTTTAGGGTTCTTCTACACTTATCCTCCTGCCACCCCTAAACCCTCGAAGCGTTTTCTTCACACCATTAGGCCAGTGGGGATTTACCACGCGCAGCCAGCCTCAGCCTGTGGCTTGGGAAGCAGTGGGCAAAAGCAGGAGTAACAGACTGGAAGCTACGGCTGCTCTCCCGTCAGAGGCTCTGACTCCAGTCACTCAGGCCCGAGTCCCTCCCTGTGTCAGTGACAGTGACCATCTCTCCATTGTCAGGCCCCAGTTTCTCAAAGCAGTAACCCATCTTTGGGGGACATCTTGAAATCTAATGGCACCAAACCATTTGGCAAAACCCAGTACTGCCTAAGCATAAACCAGTGCAAAGAATTACTTCTGTATTTTTAAGAAAACCCCCAACTGGAGATACTTTTCTAACAGCTCTTAAAAAGAGAAAGAGTGTTCTCCACTAAAGAGGGTTGGGTGTGCCTGGGGGACAAGGTTCCTGTACTCCCTTATTTCTGACAAAAAAGTATGCCACACCCAGGTGGATAGGCTGGTGACTTGGGGCATTTGGAAATGATGACTCCACAGTTCTACAAGTGGAACTGTGTTCAGATAAATGCCAAGTGAGCCTATTTCCCTCAAGACCGTTCAGGCCTCTGACTTCTCCTGTTCAATCTCCCCTTTGGGGAGAGATGTGGAGCAGGGTGCCAGGATGTCCCATCAGGTTTGAATTGCAGGGAATTCTGGGAGAGAGGTGAGAAGATTTATCCTCTCTCTTTTCTTCTCACTCTTCAGGTGTTAGTGTCCTAGAGCTCACTCGCGCTCAAGTTGTGAGAGGAGGTAAGACCCGTTTCCTCTGCACCCAGAGTCAATGGCAACCGTGCCAGCCAGCCCTGAGCTCCCACTGACCCGCCAGAGGAGTCTGCACTCTGTTTTCTCACGTGTTCACAAGCTCAAGAGTCTGGAACCACAAAAGACAATTCGCCCTTGTATAAAAGCACATGCAGACCAGAGGCGGCTATGTCCATCTAGCCCCTCAGACCTGCACAGGAAAAGCCAAGTCTATTTTTAACCCGTCAGAAGTGAGTCATGCTGTTGGGTGGCAGGTCTTTCAAGTCCATGACAACCAGAGCAGGAGCTTCATGGCATTTCTCCCGTGTTGACAAGAGCAGACCCCCTGTACAAAGGGCTAACCACATCTGAACAACTGTCTCGCCACATTCATGAGTGAGTGACATGCTATTAGACACAGGGAATGGGACTCAAGGCCCAGGAGACAGAAATCAGTGGTAGGAGGGCCATGCTTTCCAGTGGGGACCTCACTGGACCAGACTCCTCATCCCAATCCCCCCTCAAATCCTTTAAAAAGAACATGTGTGTCTGCAGAGGAAGGACCTCCCTCACCCCATTTTCATTCTAGGAGAGTTGAGGGAAGCTATTTTGGTCTGTATAAGCTGGCTGAAGTCAGAGGGTTATTTGGGTCCCCTGCAGGCCAGGTTGCTCTTATAGAGCCCAGGTCTGGGTTAGGAGGTTGTCTCTTGTGTACTTTTCGTAAAGTTTAAGGAGAGGTTATGTGGCCTGGATGGCACTGGGTGCCAGTGCCCAGAATCACTGCCACGCTTGTCTCTGAAGTCATCTCCCCCTGGTAAACCGCTCCTCCCAGCCTTCTCATGGAAACAAGAAACCTCTCCACTTCCCAGCTTAGCCTGCTACCACACAGCAGATTGGTTCAAACTTCCACCACCTTTTTGGGCCAGTATTCTCTGGCCCCTAACACAATAAATCATTGCTTTCCTTTGCCTTCTCTGTGCCCCTTTTTTGCCTTTCATATGCAAGCACAGTAGTTTTACCAGAAACAAATCTATTACCTGCCAATCTTGAGCTCTCCATATATACATTTCCTCCAAATACTAATGGAAGTTTCTAGCCAACATTTAGCAGAGTCAAAGAGATGCTCCCTCCTCTCGCCCTACACACCTATGTTTGTGTTTGGCCTCTATGTCTGTTTCACCAGCATTCAGTATCTGGCCTCCAGCCTGGGGTGAAGCAAGCCACAGCCTACATATACAAAGGAGGAAGAAATCCGCAGAAAGACTCAACAGCTCTACCAGCAATTCTGCCACAAGACAAAATAGAACTGGAAACTGTACTGAGCATTAGTTCTCTGAACATTTCCCTGTCCTTGTTGAACATTTCTCTTATGATGCTTTATCCGAAGAATTTTACGGAAATTAACTCTCCCTGCCAGAAGCCTACTATTTGCTACAAAGAAAAATACAGTGTTAGCAGGTCACCAAACATGCTTTAGAACTGAAGTTTCAGAAAGACTTCATTAAGAGATTGCCTGTGCCTCCAGCATTCCCTTCTCCAGGTCATTATGACTCCAACTGATTAAAAGCCCTCAGAAACTCCAAGCCCCTTACATGACAAACTCTCACTCCTCTACACTTTCTACAAGTTGCTTTATAACCCAGCCCCACCCACCTGTGAAATCAGCCTCATGCCACCTTCCCACGTGTCCTGGCAATGCTGACTCTCTCAGTGTGCCCATCAGTTTCAGGCTTCCAGGCTTTGCAAGTGCTCCTCCTAATCACAAATATCCTGCCAACCTCTGTCCTCCTAGAAAATTCCTCTTTGTTTTGAAAAATATAACTCAGCCATCACTCCTTTCAGAAGTTTTCTCTGGCCCCAAACACAATAAATTATTGCTTTCCTTTGCCACCTCTGTGCCCCTGTCTGTGCCGTAACTTGACTGCATGCCCTGATGCTTATGTATGGGCAGGGGCTCTGTCCTGCCTCAGGCCTGGCCCATGACCCAAGTTCATGCAGTTTTTGAATGTACGAGGAATGAACAAATGGATAAAACTGAAGTGGACCCATGACAAAAATTCCAAGGATGATGCTCCAGCAAGGCTCTGCTTCTTCACCTAAATCTGGCCACACTGCTGTAGAGGGAACAAAGGAACTTGTTGAATGCAGAATCAATCAGCATCATCTCTGAGCTAGAACCACTCAAATGCAAAGAGCTGCATCAGTGGCTGTGTACACTCCAGTCTGAACATTGCTTGCTGATGACTTTTTCTTTTAGTGTCAGTAAAATGCCTGATACTGTGAAGAGATGAATGAACAGATGTGAGATCTATTTTTTTAGAAGTATCAAAGGATTGGCTTTTAAAAGCATTTCTATATCACAGACTTTTCTGAGTCCACTAGTCCCTAACCACTGGACTGTCCATCGTAAGGCTTTACCTAATCAGAGGGTGGAAGAGAGAGAGAGGGGGCCTGGAGTGGTAGTTAGGAATCTGCATTAGAGATAAAGTATTAGGTTTTCCTTGATCATATGTCAGTTTCCTTCTTTCCCAAGAAATAGCCCAACTATGGATGGTATTTCCTTCCAGAACCAGAAGTTTCCTGTCTCTCCTTTGTCAGCGGTCCACACTGGCCTCACCAGTCCATGTTGGTGAGTAATTTAACCTGCACTAGTGACTTCCTACCTTCATCTCAAGGGCTGGCATAGAACAGCCATCCTTGGGGATTAAAGTTTTCTGATCACCACAGCTGTTAAGGGTGAGGTTCTGGACTCAGGCTGACCTGGGTTCAAATGCAGGCTCTGATCTTTCCAGCCAAGTAACCTGGAATAAGTCAGTTATCCTTTTAAGCCTCCGTTTCCTTGCCCATAAAGTGGGGATAATCTTAACCCACATCACAGGATGAACAAGAGAGTTAAAGGATATCATGTATGTAAAGCCTGCATGGTGTCTCTCTCTGTATATATACAATAAGTGCTCAAAGATGGAAAACTATGATTAAGAACTTTCAAAAATAGTTTTACAATAATCAGGACAAAAGGGGAAAATATTCTTTGAAGACACTGTGCTTTAAAGAGAATGGATTGTCTAATTTCCGCAAGCCAATGGTGTGCATTAACCAATGCTCCATGGAAGAATATGAAAAGATAGTGTTAAAAGATAATGTTGTCATTTAAAACAACGGCTGAGCTATTGCCAGGACCCATGATAGACAGTGAGAGGGCCTGGGACACCCAAGCATTCCTCTGACAGCTGGTCCGAGGGGACTAGTCCCAAAGGGCTCATCTCATGCTGCTTTGCTGGACCCAGAGTGACTGAGTTGGAACCCAAGAGGGCAAGGTTCTAGGTGCTAAAGGGTAAGATAACAGTTCCAGCCTGTGAGCCAGTGTTTCTAGGCTTGAGGGAAAATCAGGGGACCCCTGACTGTTGAGCAGGAATGAGGCAGGGAGTGCTGCATTGCTCTGTGTGTCATGCAAAGCCAGAAAGGCATAGGTTTTCGCATCCTTTTTTGATCCTCCTTGTACCATCTCAAGCCAACTGAGGCTCAAAATTTTCCCAAATTTCTGCCCTGAGCATGAGCCAACCTTTTCTTAAGCTCAATTTGGTTTTAGTATTGAAGGGTCTGAGATGCTTGATTCCAATGGGTCAACTTCCTGGTTTCTTATATAGATGAAACAGCCCCCAATCCTATGGCTGCCCTGGCTTGCCCTTATGTCTGCCACACTTACAACTCTTTCGCCCATCACTCAGAAGGTTCCATGAAGAAATCTCAGGGTTAGTGGTCAGGGAAGCACAAGCTAAGCCATCAGCCCTTGGGGACAAAGATTAACTTCTGTTGCAGGGGGCAGGTCAATTTGTCTGGTTACTGCGAGCAGCAGGACAGGGGCCCCATGGAAGAGAAGAGAGATTCCTAAATGTGTGACAGCTCCATCAGCAGGAGACTGGATTCCCATGAGGAAAAGGACTTTCTCGGGGACACTTGATTTCTCTGAGCCTGGGAGAGCTTGGGCCCACTCTGGTCTTGCCCTGGGCTCAGTTCGGTGGGCAGCATCCCTCAAGGGTGGCCCACAACTAGGCAGTGTGGTGTAGTGGGAAGAGCACTGGACTGACTGGGACCAGGGGACCTTAATTCCAGCACAGGCTCTGCCACTAACTAGCTGTGTAACCTTGTAGAGTCACCTGATTTCTCTGGGATGATTATAAAATGAGGGGTTGGATGGGCAATCTCTAAGTTCTCCTCAGAGTGTGATCCAGGGCCCTATTCTTCCCCTCCTTGGCCCTGTGTTTCCAGGGACAAAGACGGGAGAAGAGGGGGAGGGGGAGAGGATGCAGATGGGGTGCCACGAATCAGGATTCCACTTTCTCCTTCTTTTTGCTCTTTTTCAGGAAGGATGGGGTTCGGAATTTCTTTTTCTTCTTTGAGGGAGACTTGGAAGGTGAGCCCTCTGGGGACATGGGGCCGCTGGTGACTGACTCGGTTTTGTCCTTGGAGGTATCAACATCCGTGTCAGCGTTGGTGGTCATCTGGCTCAAGCCCTTGCTGAGAATTTCCTCTGCGGTCTGCTCCTCCTCCCTCCCGTTGACCACCACCCCTTCGGGCTGTGTTGTGTCGGGCTCTGTGGTGGCTTTGCTTGTTTCTGTCTTCTTAGCACCTTCTAGAAAAAGATCAAAAGACATGGCCCGTGAGATTTCATTCAGGAGAGAGCTTCTACGTGGAGTTAAAAGAACCATTTCCAGGCAACTTTATAAAAAGTAAGTCCAGAGTAAAGGGAGGGCCAGGCTGACAGTGGAGGAGGCAGGGTGGGTTTGTGTCCAAATCCTGCACTCCCCTCCGCGCGGCCTACCCTGGGGAATGAGCCCTTGGCAGTCCAATAACTCTTGGCTCTTGATACAAGTGTAAACAAGCTATGGCGTCCAAACAAGCTATGGCGGCCCGGCAAGGGCCGGGTCCAGAGACTTTCTAGGCCAGAATGAAGGAACAGGCACAGTGAGGAGAGAGGCTGTGGGAAGGGGACACAGTATCCTGTGAAGCAACACAGGGGAGCCAGCTAAACTGGTTCAGCTTCACCAATGAAATTGGGGAAATCATATGTTTCAAACCCATTTCATCTACATCAATGAGGATATTTCAGAAATGTGGAGAATATTTTCTCAGGAGGCAGAGAGAGGTAGACAGAGAGAGGATGAAATCCCTGGGTGGTGTGCCCTCATTTCTCCAAGAGGTATGGATTAACTAAAAGGGGAATATGCCCTTTGGCAGCCACCGGGGCCCCCAGGTCTTGCTGCACCTGAAGGGAACCTGTTAGGATTGCCACCGTGGTTGAGGTCGGAACTGCTGGGACCTCATGACTACACCCCCTCTCCTCACTCTCACCGAGCCCTGCTTCCACTTGAGCTGTGCAGTGCCTGGATGGGAGGGAGATGGGAAATAATGAAAACATAGACTTTGAAAAGCAGAAAGGAATGTCAAGTTCATTGACCTCACCTCCTTCCCGATTTACAGCAAACTAAGGAAACCGTGAAGGAATGGGCAGGCCTCAGTGCCCTGAGTCCAGTTCAGTGTTGTCGTGACTGTGTGCACCCGAGGGAGGGAGCGGGTGAATGGGTGTGAGCTGTCATATTACGGGACCCCCGGTGCTCTGCTCTCTGGGAACATGAGTCAGGAGTGGGTGAAGTCAGAGGTCTTAGGGAAAGGCTAGGTTTTGCCAGGGGTAAAGACTGGGGGCATGATGGTTACGTGGAGGATGGGACAGAGGGGTTAGGCTGGGGGACAGTGAGAAGGGGGCTAATTTCACTCTCTGGGCCAGTTCGTACAGTGAGGCTTTTGTAACTTCTGATTGGCTGGGAAGCTCCTAGCTCAGGCGATTTGGGAAGCTGTCTCTTTCTCAGTGCCAAAACATTTGGTTGCTGCCTCCCCTTCCTCCTACTGTCCAGCCATGTCCTGTCATCATCCAGCTAAGAAGTTCTCCAGCGCCCATGACCCTGCAGCCTCAGTCCCCTCCCCCATCCAAGGCCAGCGCCTGGTGGTATCTTAAATGCAGTGACCAGCCTTCTCTTGCCGCCCTTCTCACTTCACCTGCTAGTTGGCCTCAAAAGCCCTCTGGCCCCTGGGCCCCTCCCTGTCATCCCAGCCTGTCTTCCTCTTCCACAAAGTCCCTTCTTTGTGTCCCCATACTTGGCTCCATACACTGAATCAGCTGGAGAGTTACTGCTCCCTTAGTTTTTCCTGACTTCACCCCTGCTTCCAGGTAGACTTTATCACTCATTCTGTTCTTCCCCTATGATGTAAACTTCCATCGTAGGAACTGTCAAACAGTCACACTTCTTTTTAAATCTATCTTCCCCCTTAAAACTGAAATAAAATAGGGTAAGGCTGTGACCAATTTCTGTGTAATTAGCTCATAGGAGGCACACTAAAAAATGTTTGTGGAATCCAAGAATGGTCCAGGGCCTGAGCAAACAAATGCAAGCGTGGATGGTTTCATTCTAGTCAATGCCTTGGTTCATCTTCTTTCTTGTCTGTCCTAGCCCAAGGCCTCTAGGCTAAACAGGACCCAGCTACATAAAGTAACAGCAGCCCTGAGTGCTGGCCTCGGTCTCCTGAACCTAGTGGCCCATCCTCGCTTTCATCTTCCTGGGCTCTCACATCTCTGAGGCTCTACAGCGCCAATTCTGACCTCCACTGAAGGCCCCACTTCACGGATGACCCGTTCAGACATGTTTCGTGAACCTGACCCTCTCGGATGATCCAGTTCCACGAACACAGCTGTGGATGAGGGGATCTCACTTTGTGTCCAGATATTTCCTGCCCTGGTAGGGATGAGTGTCCAACACGCCCCTCATTCACACCCACCCTGCTGCCAATCTCATCAGCAGCCTCAACCCTCCCTGGCCCCTGTCTTGGTTGAAGGTTCTTCTCATCATCCAAAAATGAGGCCATGGCCAGTGCACCCACCAGGAGCGCAGGGAGCTGCTGTGCTATGAATAGTTTGGGGGAGTAGCAGCACATGGAAAGTGCCTCTATAAAAAAAAAAAAAGAAAGAAACTAGAGGAGGGGATGCCTCTCAGGGAGGCACGGAGCTTGTTTGGACACTGCCTCTCAGGTTTGACTTCTTATCTAATTATCACTCAGCCACCAACTACTCATTGTCTCTTGGTCCTGTGATGTCCCCTTCCAAGAATGTCCCCTCCCCCAGATTTCTGGCCACTGCCCCTGGCCACTCGCTCTGTTCCTATCTGCCAATCTAAATGTGCATCTCCCTGTGGTCTGGCTCTAGCCTCCCCTGGCATTTGACAGTGATCTTACTCTCCTAAGCCTATGCTGACACATTCATCTCATACTTGCATGTGTCGTTTTTCAAGAGCTCATTCATCACTCAAGTAGACTACACAGCGTAGAAACTTTACTTCTCTGACAACTATCACTCAGCTCAGGACATGTTCAAACCACAGTTTCTGCTGCTGGCTTTCTTAAGTGAGCCAGAGGAGACCCTGTTCCACCTCAGCCGCTGGATGCTTCTGTGTCAATGCACTGAGATGAGGATGTGGGGAAAGACTATGGACTCTGCCTGACTGAACGAGCAAGTGCCTCTCCTCCCCTGGCTCTGTGAGCCCAGCTGGCTAACATCTCAGAATCAGCACATGACGCTGGTACTGCCAGCATGCTGGAGGACGCCCTCTCTGCAGCCAGAGAGACACCCATGGAAGGCCCAGAAACTGGATTTGCTGACTTATTTCTGAACCCAAGTTCAACTAAACTGCTTAAAAACAATATACCAAGCGCATGGGTTACTGGTAATGGCCACGTCCTTTCATTTCCATGATGACAGGGTGGCTCCACACCATTGCAAAGACAGGCCACAAGAAGATTTGTTATAGGTCTTGAAAAATAACACATCTCCATGACCTTTGCTGACTCATGTGGCAACACAGCCAATAAGCCCCCACGGTGCTCAGAGAACAAGGCCAGGTTGCAGAAGACCAGCGAAGAGGACTAACAACCTCACGGCCACTCAATGAGCTGGTGCTGGCTAGCAGAGAGGGACTCAGGAGGGCTTCAGTCTGGGTGTAAATTCTCAAACACCAAAGTCCAAAAGAATCTGGGTCTGAAAGAAGCTTGTGAAAACATAACTCTCCAGTCTTATACCTGCAGTAGACTTTGAATCAGAAGGTGAGCCAACAGACACGTTTTTAACAACCCTCAGGTAATTCGGACACAGGTGGTGCATGACCTCACATTGGGAATTGCGGGCTTAGAGTGAGATCTCCTTCCACCTTTACTTCCTTCCCTGAGGCCTGAGGCAGCACTACTCACAGCAGGAAAGTGGAGTTTGTGGTAAGCAGGTGCAGTAGACTCTCTGTAGCTCGCACCCACTCACCATGGCTGGAACTCGAAAGTTCCTGAGCACCCAAATATGCATTAGTGTGTGGAAGCTGATATGCAAATGTGACCCCAATGAGCTGTATCTCCAGGGACTCACATACTTGTGTGGTCCCTCCCACACTGAATCTGGCTGGTCCTGTGGCGCACTGACCAACAGAATGTAGAGGAAGTGCCAGGAGCCAGCTCAGGCCAAGACTTAAGAAGGACTTGTAGCTTCTGTTTTGTAGTTTCGGGAGCCCGAGTCGCTACATGTAAAGTCCAAGTACTCTGACAAAAACACACATAAAGAGGCCCTGTGACCACATGGGGGAGGGTGGGGTAGAGGGAGGACATCCTCCCAGGGTCCTCCCAGCTGCCCCTGCCAGGTCCCCTGACATGTGTGCATCATCTTGCATTTCAAGTTTAATTAAGCTCCCACATGACCACAGCTGACTTCAATGGAGCATAAAAACCATCCAGCTGAGCCCAGTCAACCCACACAAGAACTAATTTCCATAAAAACAGTTCTTATTATGCACCATGGCTTAATAATTATTTCTATATTACAAACCACCCCAAAAGTTAGTGGCTTAAAACAGTAAATGAAATATTCTCTCTCACACCCACCAAAACACACTATATCGTAAGAACTAATTTCTGTAAGCTTGTTATAAGGTCCTGTTATACTCATTAGCTCATTTTATCCTGATTACAATATTGTGAGTTAGGAAGGGCGTGATGTCCACTAAGGACTGGCGTTACTCTCCCATTTTAGTGTTTTTAAGTGACTTTTCTGAGATAACTTAGTAAGTGGCAGAACTGATCTTCTTATGTCAAATGCAGGGCCTTTTCTTTGTCAACTTAGCCATGCCCCTGAGGAGTCCCTGAGAGGTGGAATCAGCAGGGGCAGTCGTTAGGAGCTAGTCAAAGAGCTGGTGATGGCCACATGTGAAGAAAGAGGATTTGAAAGACAAGACAGGGAGACATGTGAAGAATGACATCGAAGTAACACGCACAAGAGGATTTGAGAGCATTGTGACAAATAGTGAAAATTCGCTCACCCTGCTGTGATGGGTGAGCTAATGTGAAAGTGAAGGTGCTGCTGAGAGGTCAGCCCTATCTGCTCTCTGCACAAGCCACTGGGCATTCCGGCCACTATGAAGCCCCACTTCACATTGGTCACCCCAAGTAGCTACAATTCACTCCTCATCACAGGGGGTCTGCTCCAAGGAGGTCCATGCTGCCCAGCTCTTTCTGTTACAGAGAATGTCTTCAGAGAAGACCTTTACTTTTCTAACAACTCACCCATGGTAATGGTATGCCCCCTGACCCAGGGACATGGATTTGGAGCAGATAGAAGCAGAAATACCACTGCGGTGGGAACAATCTCAGATGGTGGATTATTATTTCGAGTTCCACACACCCAAGGGCTCCCAGGAGCTGAAATGAAAATGTCACCCCTTGTCCTACTCCTCAGTGAGCCCAGATTTTCCTTCTTCAGTAGGGATACATGCATCTCCATAAGAAGTTGGTCCCCAAGGCATGCAGGCTCAGGCCCAGAGTTGGAGAAGAGGTCAGGGCTCCATGGTGGCGCCCATGCATTTAGAATAGCGAGGCAGATGTGTCCCAAGAGCTGTGAACACTCCACCACAGGGAGTGCCAGGACTGCCCCCTGCCATTCGCCGTGACTGTTGCTTCTGGGTACCGTGCCCCATGTGAGTAGGGTGTGTGTTTGCGCATGAGTGTGTCCTATGTGTGCATATCCTAAACAGAAGCCTGGTCCATGCATAGCACACAAGGAATTGGTGGTGAAGTTTTTAGCCAGGAAACCTCCCAAAGGCAGCATTGTGAGTTGCAATAAAAAAAAAATGGGAAGAAATAAATTTCTTTTGAAAAAGTCCTCCCTCCCCCATTTCAAGTGTTGGAGTTAGTAAACAGCCTCTCTATACTTACTACAGAGATAAGTATTCAGATTCGGAGGAAACTCCTTTGATGAAGGCACAAATGGGAAGAGAAAGGAAGACATTGTGGAGACAGGTTGACAACACCACCACGATGAGACATAATGAACACAAACAGTCGGGGGACATCCGCTTGGGGCTCTGGCCTCAAGCAGATGGGTTTCCTCCGGCAATGTAGGGCCTGCACTCATGGCAGCAATTCGCTAGGGTGGGAAACTCAGGGGTTGGGAGGGGGTGTATATCAGCATCCACACATGTGGCCACTCTACCCAGGCGGGAGAAGATGCTAAAAGGTCAGCAAGCAGCTCCCCAAGTCACTGCAGCTCCCAAGGGAGGGCGTGGGGGCCTGAGGAGGAGTGTTTATGCCCAGAAGTGGTCCCAGGAGCTCACTGAGGATGCTGACATGCTCTAGGTGGACAGTGGTAGAATTATTATCTACCATATGTACATTAGTAATCACAATCATGATTAGATCTTACATTTAAATCATTCTTTCAAAGTCTGATCTTATCCACAACTTCCCTTATTTATATTAGAACCTTAAAAGGAGAAATATTAGTAGCCCATTTGACAGACAAGAAGACTGAGGCACAGAGATTATTTCATTTTCTAAAATTAGCTGTTGAGTTGGGACTCTCAACTAGCGGCTAATAAAATGGTTCTCCACCCAATGACATATTAGATTCACCTGGCAAGATCTTACACTCCAGGCTGCCCTCCTTCCTGACCAAATGTCCAGAACATTAACTTAGGGTCCCTGGGTGGGACCCAGGCAGACATCAGGATTTTTAAAGCTCCCCAGATGTTTCAATGTGCAGTCAAGGTAGAGAATGACATCATCAACCTCACCCCGGAGCTTGTTGGAAATGCAGAATCTCAGGTCCCACCCCCGACCTGCTACACCAGAATCTGTTTTTTAACAAGATTCCTGTGCACATTAACTCTGAGCTCATCAGCCAACCTAGTCTGAGTTAGAGATGAAAGGTGTGAGTCAGTCACAACCTATTCATCACTGATTAGACGAGGCTTAGACTGAAAGTGTGTTGCTAGAGCTTGTGAATAAAAGCTTAAATTTGGTAACCCCTATTTCAGTTTCCCTAGAAATAGCAGTAGGGAAACTTTTTGGGTAGAGGGCGATACCTGAAAGGCGGGGGGCCTTCCATCAAATGCATACCCCTTCTTCAACCTGTGGATGCTCCTGTCCCCCCACCTCCCCAAACCAGCTCCTCTCTACTCACCCTCTAAAGACTTGGACGGGGAGACCACCGGGCTCTTGGTCTCTGACTTCACTGGACTCTGTGCTGGAGAAGCAGACTTTACAGGTGAGCCAGGCTCCTGTGTGGTGGTTTCCTTCTCTCCTGAAAATACAGAAAACCACCTCAAGCAGAAGAAAGATGGGGGGCAAAAGAGGGTGGAGAGAGAAAGACAGAGAATTATTTTTCTACTTGGTCCTCATTTCTCCTGATTGAAGTTCAGTGTTTCCACTAACCTTTTTTTTTTTTTTTTCTATTTCTGCTCCATTCTGGGGGAGGCAAATGGGAGAAGTCTGGGTCCTGTTCTGTTTGCTCCATCAAAGTACCTCCCCTGATAGAATATGTCACCCTAACAAGAGTGGCATGACTACAGGAGAATTCCTACCTATGATTTGTTGGCATGTAGCACATTTATAGTCTAACTTCTCCCATGTGCATGTTTAGTCCACATGATCTCTGGGGATAAAAAGCACCATATTTTTCTATCTGCTTTTTCAGTCTACACATGAGAACTCCAAGCAAATCAGTAATAGTTTTTCCAGTGCCGGCTTTGTGCCAAGAAGGTGGTTGACTCTGGGTGGGGAGGGGGGTTCCAGGGAATGAAAGCCTGGCCGAATGCTATCTCTGACCCCAAGTGCTCTTGCAGCAAAGAGAAGGGTCAGCTCAGTGTGGGGACTGGGGGTGGGGGGAAGAGAGGGCTTCCAAGCTGGAAGGGCTTTGAGATGGAGCCTAAAGAGCTGTAACTTTGGATCAGGCTAGGTGAGCAGGGAAACCATGTTAGGAAGGGACAACAGCAGGCCTAGGGCAGAAAGCTGTCATGTGTCTGGATATTTGAAAGTCAGTGGCTTGACTGAAGAATCTGAAATAAAGGAGTAAGAGAAAGAACAGAATGGAGGTTCTGGAGGAGAGTTTTGATGGTTCAGGCTGCAAGGTTTATACCAGATGTGATTATTAATAATAATGACCACTATTATAATAATCTTATCTGACATTTATCTGGTATGACTGACCCAAGCAATATTTACAGGCTCTATAGGAAGCCCTCTACCAAGGTTAACTCCTGTCACCAGGGGAGAGGGTCAGATGAGGTGGTGAAGACACCATGTAACTGCTAGGCGCTGAGCAATTGTGATCAGTGGCATTTTGCTAACACAAATATGGTCGGTGGTGGGCAGGAAGGTCAAATTGAGGACATGACAGAGAAGAGCGAGAGAAGTATGTGAGATTGAGAATGAAAGCAAGATGAGGTTAGACTGAGCCCCGAGGACTCTATGGGGTGGGAAGGTAGGGATTCCAGGAGTTGCTGGTTGCCCTGCTGCCTCTCGGGGTTCCCTAGCTCTTCCTCCAGCCTGGAAGATCCCAAAGCTTGGGTTATTTACCTTCAAGTTCCAGCTTCTTCCTCTCCACCTCTTTCTTGTACTCCTCCAGCTCCTGGTCAGTGAGTTGGCTGAAGGGGTTGGGCACCGTCTCCTCTGAATCGTCTTTGGTATCTGCATCCCCCTTGGACATCAGCTGGCTCTCTGTAGACTGAAAGTTAACCACAGAGTGTGTGTTGCTCTCTAAGCCCCGGGGCTCGGCCCAGGCCCGAACTTCCTTTCAGACTCATGTGGCTGCCAGTGGTCGTGCTAGGGACAGCGTGGCATGCAGCTCCTTGGAAACAGCTCGGGGCCTTGGGGTAGGGCTTGTTCACTCCTCCCCAAGGCTACCTCACCCCCAGACCAGGATTCTTTGCAACTGCCTGGATGAATGCAGGGGTTCCACCCTCTGCTCCGGAAATGAAATCGAAAAATGCTCCCAAGCAGAAGGAAGACACACCTTTATTGCAAGCCCTCCTGTGGATGCATCCAAGCCATCACTATGAAAATACAGTCAGAGACCCAAAGTCAGTCAGCCAACACCCAGCAAGCAAAGCATGGGCTCCAGCCAGCTTCATGCTCACATTCCCCGCCAAGCCCCTCCCATCCCCAACAGCAGCTCAAGCCACAGCACACAGCAGTGTCATATGCAAAACACACAGAGGCTTCAGCATTCTCAGTCCGAACTCTTAGCTCTGTTTTGCATATAGTCATAAATTACAAGGGGGACAAAGTCCTGAATTTCAGATCTTCAACCCGCCTGTACTGCAGGTCCCTATGGGGGTCATTGGCAAAATCGCTGTTTCATCACATCTGTGGAGCCCCCTGCTCTGAGGAGTCACCAGCAGGGCCTTGGGTGAGCTTGGGGAATCCTCTGACCCCGCTAGCCCGACAGGAGCTGAAATTCAGACCCCACAGCCGATTTTCCTAATTCAGCATCCTCATCTTGGCCTTGGAGAATGCTGTACCCTGAAGCTGAGCAGCAGCCAGAGAGGGAACCCAGGTGAGGGGGGCCTGGAGTAGCTAGGCCACACCACATGCCCCCAGACTGCCATCCCTGGCCCGACAGCACCTCTGTGATGGCCCATGGACTCTGCAGAAGAGCACTGGACCTATCTGAAGGAATCATGGAATTTAAGAGAGTCCAAAACCAGGATCCCAGGAAGGGGAGCTGCAGAGGACCCAGGCTGTAAGTGGCAGAGTTTAAAACAATTTTGCTCTTTGTACTGAACTCCCACCTCCCCCCGTATCAAGGGGTATTTCTGTATTCGACCTTGAGAAACATTTGATGTTGCTCATTTAAGGTGAGGGGGACGGAGGGGTGTGTGGACACGACCTGCACACTTTTGGCAACAGACACCCACTTGTGGGCTGCAGCTGACTCAAGTCATCACAGCATCTCCATTTACTCTGCGGAGAGGCCCAGTTCTTGTATTTCCCCCTTCTTACTGCCAAGGAGAAGGCCACTGCTACTTTGCAATAAGTGGCACTGATTTTTAACATAAGCCAGAATCCTAACACCCCGTCTGCTAAGCACTAGAAAAACACTACTCTATCTCAAGCACTGAAACAATGACTTACTTTCTAACTCTATGGTAACTAACAGGCCTTCCCATCCCTAGGAGCTTGGGTCCCAATGTACAGGCCTCCCCTAGGTGTGCCCATGGCATCTTCCCAGAGCTAGCGCCTGAAAATGCCACATCCACACGCAGAGGCCAGAAACACTTGGGGTGGGCAGGCCTGGAATAGCTGGGGCCTGCTAGCCATGTTCCTGGGATCCCCACTTTGCAGGATACTAAGCGAGGGCAGAGTGGCACTCATGGGGAAGGGTGGGAGTCAGCATCACCCCGGGCAGGCTGGGTGTGGGAGCAGACCCAGCGCCCACAGGGGGGCAGGAGACACTGTCTCTAGTCCTCAAAGCATCCGCTTGGCAGCAAGAGCACCAGTGCCTGAGGTCTCAGGGGACGGTGGGCATGAGGACTCAGGGATCCTGCTGCCCAGCCCCGGGCACTGAAGACCCAGAAGGCAAACACGGTTCCCCTTCAGACAGGGGCAGCTGCTGCTGTACCGGGCTTCGGCTCTTCTCAGCGATGACGCTCGCCAGGAGCTGGGACTGAGGCCCTGCTGACTTCACATCTTGTCGGTTTTGTTCTCGAATCTGTGTGGAAAGGGGAGGGAGTGTGAGTGAGCTGGTCTGCTTGAGGGTGTGAAATCTGGGAGTGGACATTCCCAGCACATACTGCTGTTCAGTGTGCTCTCTGACTTGGCTCCCAAAAGGTCCTCCAGTGGCATGGGGCCTGTCTCCTCTGTGTCAAGCAGCACAGCCACTCCGAAAGAGTCTCTGTATCTGTTCAAAGGGAATTGGCTTATGAAAAACACCAGATTCTCATTCGCTCTGAGGTCACCATTAAAAGGTGAGCGAAATGAGGCATAGTAGATCCCTGAGGAGCGTCCTCAGATGCTAATATCCCTAAGAAATCCCTGAGAAGCTTGTTTAAAATACAAATTCCTGGGGCTACCCCCTCACTTACTGAATCTGAATTTCTTGGGGGAGAAGGGAGGAAACTGGGAATGTGCATTTTAAACAAACCCACAGAGGGTCCTTGGAGCACACATGGAGCCATTGTTCTGTGAGAGCATCTGACCTACTGGAGGTCATTTCTTACAACTGAGTCTTTTAAAATAATATTAGAAATATAAGCGAGAGAACCATAAAGCTCGAGAAATAAATATAAAGGATTTTGAAAACCTGAAAATGTGCCCAGAGGAAAACAGCATAACATTTGTAAACATTCAATTTGTGGGCACGTCTCTTACACACATGGAGTGTGAGAGGCACAGCTCGGCCTGGAGGGTCTGCAGGGCCACGTACCTACAGCCCTGAACATAGCACCTGGACCGTGGCCAGACGATGCAAGCTTCTTTCCCATAAGAGGCATCTGGGGGCCTCCCTGGTGGCACAGCAGTTGAACGCTGCGTTGTGAAGCTGCCCGCAGCCTCTGAAGCCCGTAGCCTCTGCTGGTTTGATCTCCGGCCACCGGGTGAGGGTCCCACATGGCGCACAGACCTCTCCTGCCGCCCGCTGCTCCCCTCAGCAGCGTACTTCGGTCCTTCTGCCTGCTCTGCTCCCCGCTCTGGCTCTGATGAATTCTCTCACCCTCCCGCGCTTCTGACTGTACCCAGTGCTTGTATAAATAAATAAATCTTTAAAAAATAATAATAAAAGAGGCATCTGGGATGTTGGTAAGTCAGACGCATCCTGGAAACTCAACTCATATTTACAGGACTTGAGACCCCTCCCAGCACCCCCATCCTACCCCTCATCTCCACCCCTAGGCTTTGAAGGAGAAAGGATGGCAGTGGTGAGCGATCACTGCCTTACCTTGTTCCGCATGTCCAGCACTTCTTGAGGGTCAGTATAGAGAGGCACAAATTGGTTTGGGTTTTCGATCCGTATTGGCATGCCACTGCTGGATTTCTCCACCTCGTCGGCCTTCATCCACTGAACACACACAAGACAAAGGCTGAGGCAAAGGACTAAGCCACATGTTTTCCCCAGTGGTCCACCCTATGGGATCTGGGCCAGCTGCCTATGTGAAAAGTCAGCAAGCTCAATGCATGTGTTCTCTCCTCCTGATATGTGTCTCCCGGAACAGAGATGGGCAACAAATGACCCGGCTTCCAACGCAAGCCCCAATCCAAAGAACACAGCAGAGTCAAATCACAAGCTTGGCAAGCAGCTTTGACAGCCAAGCGGCCATCTACTCCAGTATTGGATGACTCATTGATATTAATTCCCAGGGCTTCTTCTTTTATGAAGAGCTATTCTATTTAGCTGGTGTGTGTGTGTGTGTGTGTGTGTGTGTGTGTGTGTGTGTGTGTGAGAGAGAGAGAGAGAGAGAGAGAGAGAGAGAGAGACAGAGAGAGAGAGAGACAGAGAGAGAGAGAGAGAGAGGCTGAGAGAGAGATGAAGGACAACTTCACAGAAATGAAGAGCCCACCCACCTTTTGGGTTGCCCTCAGATCTGTACTGCAAATATTAGATACTTATTCCCTGAACTTCTCAGTAGCCTCCTCCAGATGGAGAAGCAAGAAGCAAAATCCAATTGCTACTAGGTTTCATGTTGCTGGGAGAGACGTGGTTCAGTCACCTTCTGGAGAAACTGGCTCCTCAGACCCCAAAATTCAGCACATCTGTGCAAGAAACTGATGAGCAGCTGATTCAGATGCACAATAGGAACCCCTGAGGGGAACGTGTACCAACTCAGGCCCAACAGAGATTTGTTCTGTTCCCCTTTTTGAAGCTGCTTCCACATATGTGTAGCTGGGCACTCCCTCCACCCTGATCATCCCACAGGAGCCTCCCTCTCCCCACTTCTCTCAGCCCACTGCCCGCTGCCTGCTGCCCACTGCCCACTACCCGCCTTACTGTGGTCTTGGGCCGGGGGCTGCCCATGCTCCTCTGGACCTCGTCAGTCACGTTGACCCGCAGGTAGGTGTTGGGTGTGTTGAGCCAGCGAGTCTTCTCCTTCTGCTGCTTCTGGGCATGCTGCCGCAGAGTGGGCACTGGCGCGCCGTCCTCCTCAAACACGAAGGCTGTGACTGTGGCTGGGATCTCCACCTCACTTTTGTGTTTGGTTTTCTCTTGAACAAAGGGGTAGCGGTACGTGTAACCTGTTCTGTATCCCTAAAAAGGACAAAAATAGAACCACTTATCATGGGGGGAATGGTCTGTACTCACCCACCCAACACGCGCTCTGCTCCCTTCTGTCTTAAGGACTCAGTTGAAACAAAGGGTAGACAAAGGCAAACCTTGAAAGCTGATCATTTTAATGAGATATCCATGAGGGGAGGGGGAGGGAAAAAGGGTGGGGAGAGGTGAGAAGGCCTGGGGAGGGGTGAAAACAGGGTGGGGAAGAGCACAGGGGACGATGGTGATGGACTATGGGTGTTTTGGTGGTGGGAGAACTACAGTGATCACACCTGAGGGGAAAAATCATATATTGTCCAAAAATTAGTTTTTAAAAATTAATTTAAAAAATAATTAATTAAAAAATAAATAAAGGGCTTGGTTTAAATCATCATGATGAAACTTAGGTCTTGCCACTTTTTTGCAAATTTTGTGATCATATCTGGCAGTATTTGTCATCATGATCTCAGACTTTCCGTCTGTGCTCGACAAGATCTTCCCTAACACAAAGCACCAAAAATATTAATCTATGGGGGCCTCCCTGGTGGTGCTAGGGGTTAAGTGCTGCACTGTGAGGCAATCTGCAGCCTCTGCAGCACAAGTTTGATCCTTAGCCAGCCAAAGAGAAACCCACATGGTGAAGCAGACCTTTCCCGTCTTGCCTGCTGCTCCCCTCAGCAGTGTATTTCGTCAGTCTGCCCGTTCTGTTCCCCGCTCTGTCTCTGGTGAATCCTGTCACCCCACCGTGTCTCCTGCCTGTACTCCAGCTCCTCTATGCATAAATAAATAAATCTTTAAAAAATATATTAATCTATGTTGTTAAATACTTATGTGAGTTTACTTTTTATGTTTAAATTTTGATAAATCAGGAATCTATCTTGTTGAATGCAAAGAGGTAGGAATCCACCTTAGTTTCATTTCCCAAATGGCTAGGAGTTGGTCTCATCTATAAGATGCCCCCTTGTTCTGTGTTGAATTCTCAGTTGTCTGGGGCCTATTTCTGAATTCTCAAAGTTGTTGCATTGATTTACCTTTTCCTTCCCACTAGAGAGCCCCTCATTTGGTTACTAAAGCTTTCACCCACTTTGCCGTGTGAAGGGACAAGTATCCCTAATCACTGTTCTTTTTAAGGATTTCCCTAGCTATTCTGAATTTTACCTGGAAGAACACTTTGCTAAAGTCTTTCCTCATTTTTGAGGGAATTACATTGAGTTTACTGATTATTTTTGGTAAAGTGACTCTTTACCCTCTTAGAGCTTTCTAACCAAGAATATACTTCTTGGGCCTCCCCGGTGGTGCAGCGGTTGAGCGCTGGGTTGCGAAGCTGCCTGCAGCCTCTGAAGTGCCGGTTCAATCCCCGGCTGCTCCCCGGCCACCAGAGGAGGGTCCCACATGGCGCGCAGACCTCTCCTGCCGCCCGCTGCTCCCCTCAGCAGTGTGCTTCGGTCCTTCTGCCTGCTCTGCTCCCCACTCTGGCTCTGGTGAATTCTCTCACCCTCCCGCGCTTCTGACTGTACCCAGTGCTTGTATAAATAAATAAATAAATCTTTAGAAAAAAAAAAAAAAAAAAAAAAAAGAATATACTTCTTCATTGATTTTAGGTTTCCTCTTCTGTCTATTGATAAAGTATAACAGTTTTCTTTAAATGGATTCTCACTAATGTTTATGATTTTGCTGCATTTGCAAATAGGATATAAATGTGAGTATATAAAAAGTTAATGAATTTTGTATACATTTTCATAACTGACCACTTTCAAATGCATTCATTACTGCTAATATTTTTCTCAGTTGACTCTTCAGACTTCATAGGAATATATCCATGTTATCTATAAAAATAGTAATTTTATTTGCTTTGCAATATTTGTAATTCATAGTTAGTGCCTTCCTGCTTTGGATTGATTTCCAATATTATTCCAGAACAATCTTTAATAACCGTGCTGATAGCATGAATCATTGTTTTGTTTCAAAGTTTAACAGTGCTATTTCCAGTGTTTTAGCATGAACCATGTTAAATAAGTGTATTCCATCCTACTTAACAGCTATTATTTTTAAAAATTCATTTTAAATCTCATCAAATACCTTTTAATATTTATTAAAATAATTAAATGTTTTTATCCTTTGACTCATTAATATAATGAAAGATAAAGATTTTATCTTATTTCTATGACTTTTTTTTCCCCTGGGATCCTGAGCAGGAGCTGAGAACAGCATAGACTTTTCCTCCTCCCATTGCTACTGCTGCTCCTCTGCCCCCTGGGCTAGATCCATAATTTCAATAACCCTCTTATTTCTCTTGCTTAAATGATTCTGCCCTGTCTGAACCCCAAAAGAATCCACTGAAGGACTTTTAATAACCCGCCTTGGGCTGGTCCTCTGCCTTTATACCTGCTACAGAATTTCCAATAATTTTTATTTTATTTTAGGCTGGACATGACTGATCTGGACATTGTTTCCTCACACCTCTTTCTAGCAGCCACTGCAGCAGCATAAACATATATTGAGAAGATTTAGAATGTTAAACCATCCTTGAATACTAGGAATGTGCCCTCATTTGGTTATTGTGCATTATTATTTTAGTATTGTACTGGATGCTGTTTGCTAGTTTTTCATGTGGCATTTTTCATCAACTCAAAATAGTTGGTCTGAATGTGTTACAGTTGTTATAGCTTGTTTTTCTCTCACTCTTTTCTGAAACAGTTTAAATAGCACAAGAATTGTCTGTTTCTTAAAGACTTTGTTTCTTAAGAAATTTGGAAGAATTCCTGCATGAATCATCTGAAACTGTTACTCTAGGCATGGACTACCCAGCACCCAAATATTAAGAGGACTTTTATTTTCAAGGTACAAATGTACTTTTCATCATGATAAGGTGACCCTTGTGAGTCAGCTGGTAATGAGATGGAGATGGTCTGGAAGAACAGGAAGCAAGGAGAAATGCAATGACTTAGACACCATAAAGAGGCCCCATGTAGTAGAAGCAAGGATGGAAAAATGAATCAGGTATTAAAAATGTTACAAAGATAGATTCATCTTCACTTCTCTGAGGAATCTAAGATGTTAGAGTCTCTTCCTGAAATTAGCTCCTCATTATATATGCTTTCTCTTGTTCTCGAATTGTCTCCTGTTTACATGTCATGTCATCAGCTAAACTGTTAGCCATTAGAAGAAGAAAGTCTTTAAATATAGTGTTTCTTTAAAGGCCATGCCTAGAGACATATCGGTTATCTCTATATGTGATCACTTCATCCAATGATTACAATGGGATATTGTCATAATGTTCATCAGGTGCTGCTATGGGTCTTCTGCATTCAAGTCATGAGATAAGAAAGGCAGAGCTAATTACAAAGAGGAATGAGCCAAGCTTCCCTGTGAGACTCTGTGGTTCTGATTTTTACTGGATTACTATTTCTCATGCCAACCAATAATTTCCTACCCCTTCTCCAATGAACATTCTACTGGTGTCATGACATCCACAGCCCTTACAAGGGCATAGAAAGGGCTCAACAGACTATGGGGGAGGACTATGGGTGCCTGGGAGTGGTGTGGTGACATACATCTGAGAAGGGGTGGTCCTACACCTCTGAATCATACACAATATTGTAAACCCATGTTAGCTCAATAAAAAAACATATAATTAAGAAAAGTTGCAGCAAAAGAAAAAAAAAAAGTCATCATTTAAGAAAACTCACCCACTGTTGGAATTGGCACAAATCTAAGTCACGTTGCCAATCAATGAGACTTTCACAACTTAACCTCAATGCTGGCAGTTCTCATGATACCTCATGCCTGGTACTGACTTTCCTCGGGGCTAAGTCTCCATGGACTGGCCTGGAACGGCAATGGTGGGACACTCACCAGGTTGTCCAGCATCCTCATGAGGGCCTCAAACTCATGCTCCCCTAGTCGGCTCTTCTGCATGGGCCCAAAGGTGCTCCCTGCCCATTGCACAGAGCCCACCTCGTGGGGCCGGTGCTTCTCTTGTTCCAGGAGGATGAGGTTCTCCACTCCCCCTGCGCTGGACAGGGCGGACACCTGCAGCAAGAGGCAGAGAGGCCCAGTTCATGTGTGTGTGTTGGTGGTGGTGGTGCTGGATGCACCCACACACACCCATTTCAGGTGTGTAATGGGAGTAGGGATCAGGGAGGGTTAGAAACAGAAATGTCTGGAAAACTGTATTTGGCTTTTTACTTCCATTGTGGCATGTTGGCAACCCCTGGAAGAGAAGTATTAGTTTCTTAATGTTAGTTCTTAGAAACTATAGGGAAGATGGAAGTAGCAAGTCATTATTATTAAGAATAAAATAATACAGGGCCTCCCCTGGAGGTGCAGCAGTTGAGCGCTGGGCTGCAAGGCTGCCCGCAGCCACTGCAGCGCCAGTTTGCATTCCCTGGCTGCCGGCGAGGGTCCCACATACACACACACAAAAAGAATAAAATAATACAAAGGACCGAAAAATTACCTTGGATACAGATCAACTTTGAATGTGGTTACTTCTGGGGAGGGAAGGAGGGTAAAAAAGGGTCCTCTATTTTGTCTAATATTTTATTTCAAGAGGAAAAGATTTGAAGCAACAGGCCGTTAAGATTCAAATCTAAGTGGCTGGCCGTGTGTATATATTATTCTTTGTATTTTCCTGTGTGTTTTAAATATCCTTGGAAAAAAAAGTCAATTAAAAGAAAGAACCTGGCTTCTAGGCCAACAATGGATTGACCGAACCGGTCTGAAGGAAGCATGCCCCCTCCACAATGTGGTCAGTCGATCGTGGGACACCAGCAGGAGGAAGCAGAGGAAATGCTGGTAGTGCACAGCCAGTAACAGGGCCGGGCTTGGGCTTCCTCTGCCAGCGGCCTTGAGGGCTGCCCTTGTCCTGGTTCCACGGGAAGGGACTCTACAGGTGGTCGCAGCAGTGGACTTTGTGCTCAGGGGCGAGAGCTGTGTATATGTAACAGGTGATTTTAGAATGACCTTAAAAGACATTCATTGATTTAACCAAACCCCTAATTTTCTAATTTCATGCTTGCCTACCAGTACATTCGGTTGACTCCCGGTATCTGCCATTCAGATATACTTGGTTATGCTTTGGCTTCCTGGTAAGTTCAGTGACAGAAAGAGATGGTGGTCTCCAACTGCTGTAGGCAGTGATCCCAGTGTCTGCACTGCGTAACAATATACTAGTGTCCTGGCTAGTATTTCATATCCCATGTAAGCCTGCTTATTATGGGGAACTGCTCTGACTATATAAACTTTCAGTATTACAGTTTTTGTGATAGCTATTTTTTAAAAAACAAACGGACCAAACTTAACTTGTTGACAAACACAGGTCTCTGAACTCATGAGGGTCTGGGACAGACCCCAGAATGTGTTAAATTCACCAGAATGCCAAAGGGTCCTAATGAGACTTCTGGGAGATCAGTCAGGCTACCTTTTCAAGGTGACCCCCATCACCCTGGAAGGGGAAGGGAACAGCATAAGCATTTTCCATTCCCTCTTCATCCAAGATGTCTCCAATGGAAGACTCCATTTTTATCTTATAAAGATGATTCTAGGGCCTCCCCTGGTGGCGCAGCGGTTGAGCGAAGCTGCCCGCAGCCTCTGCAGCACAGTTTTGATCCCCGGCCACCCGCGAGGGTCCCACATGGCGCACAGACCTCTCCTGCCACGCCTGCTGATCCCCTCAGCAGTGTACTTCGGTCCTCCTGCCTGTTCTGCTCCCCGCTCTGGCTCTGGCGAATTCTCTCACCCTCCCATGCTTCTGACTGTACCCAGTGCTTGTATCAATAAATAAATAAATCTTTAAAAAAAAAAATGATTCCACACCTGGGCAAAGACTTTGAAGGTCATTTATTCCACCTTTCACCAAAAGTAAGACTCTTCGTCTAATAGCCCCAAGAGCTCCACGCTTGGGGACACAGCCTGGTGTACTGTTGTCTGTGAAGGAGGATTTACTGTGAGTTGCTAAAGATTACAATGAGTTGAAATCTACCTTTCAACTGTCCAAGTCCCGCCTTCTGCTGAGTGTTTCCCTATTCTGAAGTTCCTCACAGCCCCACCGAGGTTGGATGAGGAAACACTCTCAGAGTTAGGGAAGCCCTGATGGCTGATCAATTACCTCGTTGGTCCTGGGCCCCTACCTGGCCAAGACAGGACTTCCCTCCTAGCATCCTGAAGCCCTTACTACAAGAGTTGGTTACCTGAGGGGGAGGTCTTGGTCTGTCAGTCAGCATTTCCCAGCAGCACCTACCACCCCGGAGAGACAGGGCCAGGGAATATTGAAGTACACACACTCAGGCCCCAGGCTGCCTGAATCCAAACCCTGTCTTTGCCACGTACTCAATGTTCAGCTTTTGGTGACTAATTATATTCTGTGCCTACGTTTACTCACCTGTAAAGTAAAAACAGTAGTACCTACCTCATGGGGATTATTTCAGGTAACATTGTAAAGCCCTTAGAATAGCACCTGGTGCATAGAGAATGTCATATAAATGTTTATGATAAAATAAGTCCAGACATTTTATCATGAAAGACTGAGAAGCAATATTTCCTGGGGACCAATTTTTCACAGATGAGGAGGAACTTGCCCACATTTTTGCAAGAGCTGCCTCCTCCCACCTGCCTCTTCCCCCATCAGTTTCCATGGTGATGGGTAGCAGATGGAGAAGAATTGTCTAAACTTCTTTCCATCTGCCTATAAGCAGAGCAGGGAGCTGCCTCTCTCAGCTGGGGATGACCCAGTTTCCTGGAACCCCAAACTGATGGGGAGCAAATAGAACACTGTCCCCAGGAGAACAGAACAGGCTCTTAGCCTTGAACCACTAAAATGACCAGAGCCACATTTGCCTGTTTGCCAAGTTCATGGAGGGAGAAAATTAGGCTCATGATGAAAATCGAGCTTCAGTGCTGGCCATCTGACTAGAAATGTCCTGTCTGGGACTGCAATCCCAGCAGCCTCTGTGGCACCTGGGCTTGTGCACCTCTTTAGTCTAATCCTTCCTGGTTTTCTTCCATACCTTCCAGCTTCATTCCTCCCTCTAGAACCTTCCCTGCTCTGCCCACTAATAAAAGCCACTGGGTTTTCTGGGCGTTGTCTGCCTCCATTGCCTGGTACACTTTAACAGGGTCGCATCATGCCAATTCTGACTATAAGAAGGCGACAGCAGGCAAGGCAAAGAGAAGCATCGGGGGCTCTGAGTGACTGGCAGCTCTGCCCTGTCATCTCCTGCAGTTGTGAGACGGCCATCCTTTCTTTGTTTAAATTGCACAGTGGCCATTTCTAGGAGTCTGGAGCCTGGGTGAGGTGTGGTTCTCTCTCCACTCATTTTTAGGGCTGGTCTGCATTTGCAAAGACATAGGTTTTTCACAAGCTATTTTCTCTTGGATACCTCTTCTTCAGAAGGAGGACAGATAATTACTAAGAAGGGAAATGTGGGGAAGGGAAAGTGAGATATGTGTGTGGGGGGGGGGGGGCTCGCCCAGTTCTAACATCAGTCAGGGGCCAGCATTACTGGTTGGGGGCTGTTGGGAATGGACACCACATCAAAACTGTTTGTGTTCCTCCTTCTCCATGTTCTCCCATTCTGGCAATTCTTCATACTGTCTTGACAACGGTCCTCTCAACATAGTCCTTTAAAACTATTGAAAAAGATTGGGCCTCCCTGGTGGCGCAGGGGTTAAGACACAACCTATGAAGCAATCCACAGCCACTGCAGCATGAGTTCAATTCCTGGCGGGCCAGGGAGAAACCCATATGGCAGGACAGACCTCTCCTGTCTCGCCCGCTGCTCCCCTCAGCACTGTGCTTCGGTTAATCTGCCTGTTCTGCTCCCCACTCTGTCTCTGATGAATCCTCTCACCCCCCACATCTCTGGCATGTACCCCAATTCTTGCATAAAAATGAATGAATCTTTAAAAAAAAAAAACTATTGAAAAAGGTAGCACCTGTGGAAACTCCACTAGTGATGCTTCTGGGATAAGCCAGAAGATCCCCACAACTGCCATGGAAAGGCAATTCTTCGTGGAGGTGCTCTGCCTGGGCCAGCCAGAAGAGGGCAGACAGGGCATCGAAAGAGCTCTGCACAGACCTGACTCACCCTGGAACAGCCAGCCTCCCTTTCTGTCCATGGAGTCATAAAAATACCGCCTCTCCTCTGAAAGCAGCACCTCTCCTTGTCTGAAAGGCCCTGAGCTCATAAGCACTCTAGGGCTCCACATCTGCCTTACTACACAAAGGCCTACCCAAAGGCACACAGCCCAGAACGCAGATGATGGCGCAGAGTCGGCTGTGCAAGGCCCTACTACCTCCCTCCAACAAAAGAAAGGAAGAGGGGATGAAGGGAGGGGGGGAAGGAAGAATGGAGAGAGAGAGAGAGAGCGCTTATCTACCTGTGTGGTATCTAAGGGGCACAGCTAGATATAACAGGTATACGCAGGTAATACATGAGCAGGAAGGACTTCTTACATACCCGATTACAACTTCTTCCATTGTCCAACTGGTGAGCCTAGGCAGCACCCTGCCCAGGTCACAGACACCCAAGAGTTGCGTATTGGTTGGTAGACAAGGATGATACATTTTTTAAAATTACCAAACTAATTCTACACGTAAAATTTTAGAAGGATAAGGGAGTGCTATAGCAGGGAAATAGGCACATTCAATAGGATGCCCTAAATCACAGTCAGCTGGGGGATCCGCCTTTGCTGCAGGCCTGTCAGAGGCGGTCCTGGCCACTCCCCGGAGGAACATGCTCACCTGTACCTCACACGCAGCCTGCAGATGGAAGACTTTGTAAAACGCCTCCTCGACAGTGTCACCCAGAGCAACCACTCCGTGGTTTCTTAGCACCAGGATCTGTAGGGGAGTAAACAACCAATTAAAACCTTAAGCCTTCTAAACCTTCGTTAAGAGGGAGAGATTTTTTATGTACATCAATTTCCATAAAGCCTCCCCTCAACTTTTTCATTCTCCTCTATAAATACCACATTGCCACCCAAAACATTCACTTTGAAAAATTAAAGGTATTTTTGAGTACTGAGACTTGGTGGATTTCTTTGGGCAACACTTGGGCTTTAGCCTCGGAGTGTAGCCTGGGAGAGCTCATCTAGAAACTGGTGTTTGTATTAAGGTGAAGGAGGTTATTTAATGTACAATTTGAGGCTCTGACTTAGAAAGCAACCCCGTGCCCCTTGTGACTCAGTTGACTTGGGATGGGCCTCTTCTGAGAGGGGGCTCTGAGAAACAAGTGAGTCCCATCCCCACAGGCCTCATTTTCCTCCCCATTACCTCAGTGTGGCCCTGGCAGTACTGCGACCCCACAGTTCTATGGAAGAGGCCGCAGTGACCTTCTAATTGAACTCACTGGTTTTTCAGGAGAGGAAACTAGAAGTCTCAAGGAATTGAAAGCCTCCCAGCTAACAAGGGGCAGAATGAGAACTAGAACCCAGGTGTTCTCGCTGTTGGGGCAAAGTATCCGACTCGGGCAGAACAGGCGGATAAAAAGGAAACTGGAAGGCACTGATATCAGGAGACTGACTCCCCAAGGTCCAGGTGCGCACTCCCTGCCAGAAACTCTTCTCAGTTGGTTTTTAACCTCAAGAACTCTCTGAAGCCAGGTGGCATCTCTCTGGGAGCTGGGATACAGACCCCCTGTGTTGGATCTGTCCTTGCAGGACCCAAGCTGAAGCCTGCTGGCCTACTCATCACATCTTCTCTTGCTGAAAACAGTTGGAATGTTTTCCTCTCAAGTGCAGAGAAATCGAAAGAGATGATGAGTTTGGCCCACAAAAGATTTTGCAGATAACAAAGGCCCCCATCTCCCCAATTCCTGTAGCAGTTCATAGATATGAACATCTCAGCCCTCCCCAGTTACTCTTGAGGCCCTAGAGAATATCAGGAGAGGCAGCAGGGATTTCTCCGTTAGAGAGGGGGTGATGGGACTCTCGGATGAGAAATGACTCAGGCAGCGAGTGCTGTTCAAGGACAAGGATTTTCAAGGAGCAAATGCCCATTATCCCAGACTTGACTCTGAAACTACTCACACTGGCCTGGCCATCCCTAACTATGTGCTGTTAGAAAACAGGTCTTCAAACCAAACACTTCTAAGATTGTGTTTTTCTCCATCAAGACAGCAGGGAAAAAAAAGAAAAAGAAAAAAACCCACAAATTTAGGAAGACTGCAGGGAAATAGCATTTTCATATACTAGATATGGGGAGAACAATTTGATAATATGAAGTTACAGTTTTTAAACATGCATCTTTAGGAACTGATCCTAAGGAAATCATCTCAAGCATACACAAAGATTTAGTGAAAGAATTTTCATTGCAGTGTTGTTTATATCAAGAGAAATTTAAGGGAAAAAAATCCTTCCACTGTCCAACCAAAGAGGATTATGAAATGGTGGTATAGACATTCACAAAATGAGGTGTAATTTTAGATAGTGATTTAGAAATATTTAATATAACATACAAATACATTAAGGGGAATAAGTATCTATTTTATGATCCTAGTTTGTAAACATAAGCAAATACATTTGGCCTACAGACCTATACCACAGGGTAGCATGATAGATTTTTATTTCTCTTTTTGCTTGTTTATCTGTAACTTCCGAACATTGTCCAATGAACACGTGTCAATGTTCTGACAATCCCACCCCAGAGCATCTTCTCAGAACAGCTGTGCCAGACCTTGCAGGTGGGTCCAAGGCACTTCTGCAGGTTGATCCGATCTGCTTCCTGCTCCATTTCACCATTGAAGTCATAATAGGCCATGTCCCCCACCAGCAGGGCATTGTGGGAGACAGGCAGGAGGCCCCACTTCATGGCCGACACCTTCAATGAGATGATGAATGGTTAGCGCCTGCAGCTCTCCCAGCCCCTCTGTCACCTTAGCCCTTTGCCCAGAGCAGCCCATGATGTTCTATTCAGGGAGACCTCAAGTGAGGGAGAAAGCAAGCCCACAGGAAAGGCATTGTCCTTCTCCCCCTTCACCTGGCTCAGGTCTTGCTTCCTTGCTGCGTCCTCTAGTGTCTTTCCACCCCAATTTTACAGTAGTCATGTTAATAGCTTCGAAAACTGCTGCAAAAAAATGCACTCTAGAGAGCCACTGCTGCCCTCGCGACTGACTTGTCCTAAGAGAAGAAGCTGGGGTGGGGAGTTGGCACAGGTGGTGGGGAGGCAGGGCCCAGGGTCCCCTGAGGTAGCTTGGTGAAGACCCTGGGCTTGAGGTCAGTCGAGCTAAGACTCTTCACTAGCAGGAAAGTCCACTGAGGTCTTTTTGCCTAGCCATGCAAGTGCTAGGGGACAGGCTAAAACCAGGCTGTAGCCCCCACTCCCCATCTTTTATTAAAAGCAAGGAGTGTGGCGAGGTTTAGCAGAGCCTCTTTCCTCATTTTGCCCCCCTTGTAAGCCTGGGCTCTGCAGAAATGCACATTGGCACAAATATATCTCCAGTCTTGGTTCAAATTCTAGAAGGTCTGAGGGCACCTAACAGGGGAGACTCGCTAAGAAAACCACAGGCTACTGACAAGGCTGCTCTGTCCCTGAAGGTATGTGGCCTGGGGGTCCATAAGAGGAACACCCCAAACAGGTGACCTGCTGTCTTTCCAGGTACCTTAGGTACTCATGGAGAAATTGCCTGAGGCCTGTGGGACACCCTGTTCTTGACAGTCTCCCTTCTACTCTCCCCTGGTTTTCATGCTCCTGTCCCCAGCCCTCAGGCACATGGGTTGTGACAGGAGAGTACATGCCTGGTTTCTTCCATCTCTGCCTGAGCCTGGGCTGAGTGGGGAGGGCTAGTGTTGCCCAGCAGGACTGGCCTGAGTAGAAGCTGAGGAGGGGTTGTCACCTGGGTAAGTGACCCCTGCATCTGCTACAGGGTGGAGAGCCAGACAGGGCACATTTTTACCTTATGTCCCCAAACCAACACTTATTTAGTTAGAAAAGTGGAGAGGATGAGGGTCCTGCATTGGGTGTTCCCTCTTCTTACCTTGATGTAAGTCTAAGAAATCTTTCCAGAACTGTTTCAAATGATGAGATGTTACTAGCTTGGGGGCTGTGCCAGCCTCGGGAGCAAAATATGGCTGAATAGCGAACACTCACCGCGGCCGTGGCTGGCGTGTGCAGGTGGATGACACAGCGCACATCGGGCCGGGCTGCATAGATGGCCGAGTGCAGACAGAAGCCCGTGGTGTCCACTGGGAAGCAACTGCTGCCCTTCTCCACCACCTCTCCCAGGATATTGACCTTGATCTGAGCCAGGGAACAAGAGAGACTTTAGATCTTCATCTGGTCCCTATCAACTTAACTTACCTCCAGACACTGCATACATGAGCCAGACTTGTTTGGTTTGTGTTTTTGTTGTTAAATGGTATATTTTTGTTTATATACCTTGGATATTAATCCCTTATCAGATGTGTGATATGCAAGTATTTTCTCCACTTAGTAAGCTATCTTTTTAATGTGAGGTTCTCTTTCACTGTACAAAAGCTTTTCAAATTGATGTAGTCCCAGTTGTTTATTTTTTTGCTTTCAATTTCCTTGCCTTTGGGGTTGAATCCCCAAAGACATATCTATCACAGATGTCATGGAAAGCATTACCTATGTTTCCTTCTATGTATTCTATACACAGATTTGTTCAAGTCTTTATATCCCAAATCTTTAATTCATTTTGAAGTTATTTTTGCATATGGGATAAGAAAGTGATCCAGTTTTGTTTTCACATGTGACTGTCCAGTTTTCCTCACCCCATTTGTTAAAGAGATTTTTCCTTCCTCCACTGTATAGTTGTGGTTCCCATGTCATAAATTAGATGCTAATGTATATGTGGATTTATTTATGGGCTCTAAATTGTATTCCATTGAGCTGTGTGTCTATTTTATTCTAATACTATACAGTGTTAATTACTACTGCTTTAAAATATAATTTAAAGCAAGTAACATGATGCCTTCATTTTTCTTCTTTCTTTTCTCAAAATTGCTTTAGCTATTCAGGGTCTGTTGTGGTTTCATATAAATTTTAGTAATTTTTGTCCTGCTGCTTTGAAAAATGTCATTGGTATTTTGATAAGGATTGCATTAAATCTATATACTGCTTTTGGTAGGATGGTTATTTTGACTACATGAATTCTCCTTATCCATGAACATGGGTTATTTTTTTTTTCAGCTCTTTGTGTCTTTTTATCTTTTAACAGTGTCTTAAAATTTTCATTGTATAGATCTTTCATAATTAACCTGTTCTTTTAACTGAGTACCTGGACTTAATCTGGACTCAACTGTGTCTACAGTCTATTTTCTCATAGGTACAGAGCACAGCAGCTACAGTCCCTGTCTTTAAGAAACACTGGGCTTCTTCTGCCCAAAATTCTTAGAAAGAACTTCTAAAATAGCCCCTTCTACTGCTTTCTTCTTCTCACTCAGAAATCTTTCCTGACTGAAATGAACTTCTGGAAGTTTCTTGCTAAGAGAAGCAGGAGAAAGGGGTCCCAGAAGCTATTCTCTAATTGCACCAGAACAAAATAAGCCATGCATTGCTTTGGGACAGGGCTTGGCTGTCATTCTAATGTATTTCTCCCTTTCTGGAAGGCCTCCTCACTCCTACACTTTGTGGTACAATCACAGGCTCTGAGGACTCCAGGCCCATCTCCTCTTCCTCCTCCCTCCTACTGTGCTTTCTGCCTGCATCACACATTTGGTCTCTTGTTCACGTCATGCTCTAGGCATTCAGTTGATTTTGGTGTCCATTGTCTTCTCTGTCCCATCAAGTTGTCAGTTTCACAGGGGACAGGGCGGCAATGGTTAATTTGGTGATAACATATCTTGATATGAGCAGAAGGGGTGCTGTCACTTCTATAAGGAGCAGACATTGAGGCACTGTACTATACTCACCAAGCTGGATGCTGTGACTTCACTGCAAGAAACTCCCTTTGGACTAATCAGGAAATGGTCCTGCTCCTTGCTGACTCTCAGCTGGAGAAGACACACATTCTCAGTGACAACGAGGGAGAGAGGTAGTTTTCAAGGATACTCTGCCTGAGTCACTTCTTCACATGAAACCACTGCACCTAGATGTTCCTCCTAAGAACTCTTATCTTGTCCCGCCCCCTTCTACTCCTCAACCCCAATCATGAAAGATGAACATGACTTCACCTTTATTTGGAGCTGGGAAATGGAGCTACAAGAGGAATCTCCCAATCCCAAAGGTAGCCTTAGAAATAGGATCTAGGAGGGCCCAGTCCTTATCTAAAGAAGTGCCCTGTGGGCAGACTAGCTATTTCGGGTGACCACAGTTGTCAGAGACCTTGGAAGGACTCCGTGTATTCTATCTGCAGGCCACCAGATGTTCCATGGCCATGACAAGAGTCAGGAATTCTCCCATTGGACTTTGTGGGGGCCTTAGACAGTACCCCACCTGACTCCAATATGCTCTCCTCACCGTGACGTAGGTGTCACTCAGCTGCGCCCAGCCATAGAGGTCCAGGAGTCGGTAGACGCTGCTGATCTTGCACCGCATGAGCCGCTCCCCCTTGGCCAGGTTCAAGGAGTCAGCTGTGTGGAGGTCGTTGATGGGTGTCATTATGGAGAAGTCTGTGGGGGACAGGGCAGCTCTCAGAGTCTGGGACTCCCTAGGCCCGCCCTCCCTGCCCACCTCTTCAAAACTCACTGGCACTACAACTGTATAAGTGACTTTCATAGGAAGTAAGTTAAACATCCTTTGACCCTTACCCAGGGGCCAAATCCATACAATGGATAGTTGTGCTCAATAAAGTTCTCTGCTTATGGGGGCAGGATGGCATTGTTTTGGACCAAAAACCATGGCAAGACTCAAGGCTACAGAATGAAAGTTTCCCAGAATGCCAAGTTTACCATAAATCCTAAAGGCAGACATAGAATTAAAGCAAGAATAAGTTTCTGAGTGGATATATGGGTATATTATGTGAGCTCATTTTAGTGAAAATGTTATTAATAATTAGATGTTATTATATTGTTTTAACTATATCATATAACTTTTTCTCTCATTTGGAAATAAGGCAAGTAGAAAGCAAGTCAACAGGGAAGTAAATTCCTCAACTTTTTCTAACAAGTAATAAAATTCCAGAAGTCAGTGTGGCTGAAGGGCTTGAGGCCTCAGTGGTGCCCCAACACTGGACATGCAGGACCTTGGTTATTTATGGTTCTTTCTGGGAGTTCTGAAGGATGCAGAAGGGATTTGGAAATGGTTCTAAAGGGTTTGTAGTCTTGTCTTCAAGGCACTCAAAGGGTCCAGAAGATTACATACAACCTGTCCCATCAACCTTCATGACCACTGCCTGCATGCCTCAGGAAAGCAGAAGAGGGCGTCTGAGTTCCAGCACCATGATTAATCAGTGTCTAGGAACCAATCATGGGAGAAGGTCCTATCATAAATGATTTCTGGCTGGGAGCTTCCTGATGCTGCCTCTCCCAGAATCCCACTAAAAACCTTAAAAGATTGAAATGCTCTTTAGAAGCTTCCACCATCTCTATAAACTTCACTGCTATACAATGTGATGTACGTCCTATATCAGGTTTGCTGGTAATTGAAATGATGAGATAGTTTCAAATATGAGGGGGCACTAGGTGCTGTAGGGCACAAAGCAAGCAGAGCAAGCCTCAAACACCCCATGTCAGGAAAATGACCCCAAAGTGCCTGTGCACATCAGAGGTGACACATCTCTAGGAAATGTGTCCAGTAAAAGTAGCTGACAGGGACAGAAGGGATCCAAAGGTTCATCTGAACCAGCAATAACAATAAAATTCTGAAGTTGAGGATTTCTAATTCAAATTGAGCAGTCTAGCAGGCCTCCTTCCTCTACGAGTTCCCCCAAACAAGAAATTACATCTTGGAAATGCAATCAAAACTACAATGAGATTCACCTCACCAATGTGAGAATGGTCTATACCAAAAAGACTGGAAATGACAAAAATGCTGGTAAGTGTGTGGAGAAAAAGACTCGCATCCACAGTTGGTAGGAATGCAACTGATGTGGCCTCTAAGGAAAATGGCATGGAGTTTCCTCAAACAAATAAAAATGTTAAAATCATGTGATCTAGAAAAAGCAATGCCAGGTATTTACCCAAAGAATATGAAAACTGTAATATGAAAAGATTTATGCACTTCTGTGTACAGAGCAGCATTACTCACAATCACCAAGACAAGGAACCAACCTAAATGTGCATCAACAGATGACTGGGTAAAGAAATTGTGGAATATATACTCAATGGAGTACGACTCAGAAATTTAAAAGAGATGAAATAGTGCCTTTGGGACAAAATGGATGGATTTTGAGTTGATAATGCTATGTGAAATAAGTCAGAAAATGGGGCCTCCCTGGTGGCACAAGGGGTTAAGACGTAATCTATGAAGCTATCCGCGGCCACTGCAGCACGAGTTAGATCCCCTCAGCAGTGTATTTCAGTCAGTCTGCCTGTTCTGTTCCCCACTCTGTCTCTGGTGAATCCTCTCACGGGCCCCCCCACACCTGTACCCCACTCTGGCCTGTACCCCACTCTTGTATGCATAAATAAATAAATCTTTAAAAAAAAAAGTCAGAAAATGAAAGACATTTATCGAATGGTCTCACTCATTCATGGAATATAAATAACCAAAGAGAACAAACTGGCAAAACAAGAATAATTCTTATACCAGGGGAAGTGAGGAGGAAGAGAGAGCGCAGAAGACAGGGAAGTGACAGTGCTGGGCACTAGAGCATTGGAAGAGGGCCTGGGAAGCACGTGTACACGTGCAGATGTGATGCTGTACTCCCAAAAAGATAGTTATGTAAACTCATGGCAAATCAATAAAACATTTTTTAATTTTAATTTTTTAAAACAATTACCTCTTTGCTTTCATCCCTGGCAGCAAGAAGGGGGCATATTAAAGGTACAAGGCCACCAGGCAAGTCAGGCAGGTGGGTTGCTGTTGGGAGGGTTCTCAAACCAAAGTGAATCTTTCTCTTATAAATAACCATAAAGTTCCAGGGTGGCAGGCGGGCCAGAATAGCTCTGAAACGCACTCTATCATGCTGTCTCTGTCCTGTGTCAGAAAGTCTCCCTCCCCGCCCCATGGAGCTTGGTTGTGGGATTACCCCACCCACAGGCCCAAGGGTGAGAAAAAAGAACCAGCGTCTCCACAGGAGTCCCTCCCCCAACCCACCCCATTGCTCTCAAATCTTGATAGAAAGAATGCTCATTCCAACCAGCCTCACAAAAGCCAGGAGAGCTGAGTGGCAGGTTTATGACTCAGATCTAACTGAACCATTTATTCAAGGTACCTAAAAAAAACAATAAAAAATGATGAAAACTCACCAAACTTCCTGAAGGCTAAAGCTGAAAGACTCACTATTGAAAAAAACAATAAAAAACAAGAATTTCAAGGCTCAAAGCCTAAATAATGTTATAAAACCAATGTTACTTCTGTGAAAAAAAATTAAATTAAAAAAATTCAATGCAAATGGAGCTGAACATAGAATACCCATGGGGCTTGAACTCATGACACTTGGAACTTCCCCTCCCACGTTCCCTCACTCAGATACCCTGCATGTGTACTAAAAAGATTTCCAGGCATCCCACTGTCTTCCTGATGGTTATCCCTAGTTCTCTCTCAAAAGGAAGAGTATAAGGACAGAGACATGAAGATGATGAGAGACCATGATAGATAAGGGAGACGAAAACCAGAGAGCCAGCATATATCATCAGTGTTCACATCATAGAAAAATATTCTGAACTGAAAAAAGACTTGATGCCAATCCACTTGTGGGGGTGGGGGTCATGCATGAACTGTCCTGCCTCTCACAGAAGTGATGTGTGTTATCCTGACACCAATCCCCCAAGCAGGACCAGAACCAAGTTCCCTTTTAAGTCATTGCCACCACCACTCCCCTGTTTCTGGGCCTCAGGGAGAAATCTCCTGGGAGTCTTTAAGTGCAGCAGCATCAGAAGCAGAGCCAGGTAACTCTCTGGCTGCTGCTCATCTCCCCCAGGGCTGCTAATACACTGCACCACTGATGTGTAGCTTGGCAACCAAGCTACTCCTTCCTCTCTGCCCCGCCCCACTTCCTCCACCTCTGCTCCTGGCAGCTCCCCACATACTCATGGAAGATGTTGGGAAGACTGCATGGGAGGTGCTGGCCATGAAGTCCGCAATCTGCCGTAGGGCCCAGATGTTGGAGGAGTTGTTCCCCTTCTTCATCTGCTCCTGGATGAGGCCTTCCAGCTCTTCCCTGAAAGACTAAAGCAGGCCCCCAAGAAGGTGCTGGTCCCCACAATGCAGCTCATGCAGGAGACTGAGAGGAGAACCCCCCTACCCCAGCTGCAAAGATGAGCTCTTCCAAGTGCCCACCCCAACCCCCAGCCTAGGTGTTAGCTAGACCACTCCACACTTGGGGTCCCTGGGCCCCAGACGACACTGGGCCATTGCACTGGGACCTCAGGCACTTCCCCAAACTGCTCTGTGGGGAGCAGCAAGGGGATTATGGGAATGGATCCTGTTCCCTTTGCCCTTGGGCAGTAATTCAGATTCTTGGGTTTAAATGATAGCCAATGCCCCTCTCCCCATCAGACCCGGCAGGAATTTAGTGTCTAAGAGACATTTTAAAAAAAAGAATCAAATGAAAAACATGCCATCCACTCTGTTCACTAGCCATGCCTCCAGCTCTTCTGGGCTGCAGTTCCCTCATGAACAGAAGGATTTGATGATATCTGAGGTCATTTGCACTTCAGATATCCTACTACCTACTAAGCCTGGCCATTCAAACCACCAGGCCCCTATCTAAACAAGACTGCCCACTAGGTGGCATCGGGTAACAGGAAGAAACAGGAGTCATTTAGGTGCTGGTGAACCTGGAGGACAAAAGTGTAACCTTCTCCTACTCCCATCTCCTGCCAGAGAATAGAGTCTAGTCCAGTCAGACCCTGAAACTTGGGTTCATGCTAACTCTGCCCCTTCTCCTGCCATACCTGTCATTCAGCCTCAACTCGCTGGGGACTTCCCATTGTTCCTATGCTTTTAGTACCTGCCATCTTCCTCCAGGCTCCTCTACGCAGCATGCAGCTACCAGTCCCTCCTGCCCAGCCCAGCAGTGCTCCTCTGTGAGGCCAGAGCACTCACGGGATGCCTCCACCAAGTCACACAAGGCCTACACACATGCCCTGGCCCCACAGGAGCCCATTCTGGAGAGGACCTGGAGATGCCAGCTCCAGTCCTGGGCTTCCCAGCACCTTGGTCATGCACAGATTCCTGAGAACCTCGGAGCTCTATTGCCTTCAGACTCCTCCTTGCTTCCTTCCACACTGTCCTCCCAGTGCCCCACCCCCGGGGCCACGTCACCCACCCCCCATCAGTGTTCCATTAGGTCCACATCAGTCCGTCTCAATGGCCGCCTCCTCAAGGATGAGCTCTGCGTCTCTCAGGCAGGCATTAAGGGAGCTCCAGTCGGAGCCATGGCGTGGTGATACAGATGACCCCCCTTTCCTGCCCCATAGCCCCCTGATCCCGCCACTCCCCCCACCTCCTGGGGCTTCCAGATCCTCTTCACCCCCGCCCCGTGGAGGTCAAGGACTCTCTGCTCCTAATAGTTGACTGTGGTTACAGAAAGCGAAGCCGCAACTGCCCAGGTGGCACCTCGTGCTGGCCTCAGCTTTACAAGAATTTGCCCCACGGTCCACTGTCAGCTTTTGGTGAGAAGGGAAGGCTGGGAGCCAGAGCTCCGAAGCGCAGGAAACCGAGGTGGGGCTCCTGCTGCTCAGACCCACCTCTTCCCATCATCCTGCCTGAAAAACCAGGTTTCACCAACCTCCAGTGACCAGGGAGAGAATCGAACACCCTCGTTGCCAGAGCACCTTGATCAGCGAGTTCAAAATAAATTAATAAGTAAAAAAGCCTCCGATGCTGACCAGCGGAAGAGGTGTTATTTATCTTTCGGGGTCAGCGGATGGATGAACGCGCCGCCCTCGCTCCGAGCGTACTTCCCTCCCGCCCGCCGGGGCCAGACCCCCTCACCGGGCTCTGCAGGATCATGGTGACGCGCTTCTTCTGCTCCATCAGGTTGAAGTCCTGCCGCAGGTCCGCGGCGCGGTTGCGAAGGCGCATGTACTCAGGGTCCTCCTCGGAGAAGCGGTCGAAGTACTGCTGCCCCTGGGGGGCCGGGGGGGAGGCGGGCTCCTCCGGGACGGTCTCTCCACTCATGTTCCTGGTGGGTTTACAACCCGCTCCTGGAACTCTACAGAGCAGGGAAGAGGGTGGGCGGACAGCTAGATGCTCCCTGACCCGGCTCACATTTTCTAAAGCAAAGGAGCTGGATTCTGTTGGATCAGGGTGGGATGCGGCCTGGAAGTGGAGAGGTGCACTAGAGGGCGCGGCGCAGGCAGCGATCTATAGGGGGCGCTAATGCATCATCGGACTAGGTGAAAATATGGCCGGCTCAGGGCTCCGCAAGCCCCAAGACTAAGAGGCAGCTTCCACTGGCCACGCGTGGGTTCGAGTGGACAGTTCCCCCAGTGCAAGCCGGACCTGCGTATCTAGAGAGTGTAAAGCTATAGTATTTACTGGGGATTCACACTTCATCTAAAAGGTAAGCCCTCTAAGAAGCTTCCTAAAAATAATTGGTGGGCAATTTACAAAAGAGAACAGGAACTGCCGAAAACCTGAGCGAGGCTATGCTATGCTTTTCTTCACAAGTTTGACTTTGCTCTGGTCTCTGGCACTCGCAAAGTTTTGGCTAGCGCAGCCTGTACTGAGCCTTCCTCTTCTAAATCCTTTCCATCCAGGCAGGTAAAAGCTGGTCCCGGCCCCTTCCCCTTGGACTGGCTGCATTTCCCAGGAATGGGTCTGTGAAGGCTGTGAAGTAGCTCTCCCCTCCCCAAGTTGGGGTTCTGATAGACAGGAGCACCCCCCCCCATGCTCATTTCTTAGAGCTCAGCTCTAAAGGGTGCTTATAGGGGAGGGGTAGGAAATAGAAGTCGTGATTCTCTTTAGGCTTTGTAAAGGGGCATCCTTTCGTGCTTCCTTCCCTTCCCTCACTTGCATAAGTCATCACAGTTGTGTGCATCGTGGCTTAGTAGCTGGAAGTAGGGGCTCTGGAACAAGCGGTGAGTGCAAGTCTCAACTATGCCTCTTAGCCGTGTGACACTGGGCAGCTCAACTAACCTCTCTGCTCCTCAGTTGCCCCCAAATGGGGATTGTAACTGTTTACCAACCTCTGTGGGTTGCTGTGAGGATTACATAAGTTAATGTATGTGAAGTACTTACAGTAGCTCCTGGCACATAGCAAGTGCTATTAGGAATTTGCTCTTATTATATGTCAGTTAGTGCCTAGACTCATTCAGCTTTAAGAACTCAAGTAAAGAGAAGCTTACATTTCAACTGTAAACAGAGCACATTCAATGACTGTTTCAGTCCAAAAACTGAATTCAGTCTTGAGCTATATTAACAAAAAGAAGAACATCCAGATAAAGGCTAATGAGAAAGACTAGTTCTCTGGCCAGAGAGTGGGAACATGTTGACCTGGAGATGACAAGAGAGAGTGAGCAGGATGCTGAAGATCAGAGGAGGCCGGTGGGCTGGGTTAGCTGTGACGTCATAAAGGTAATTCTGGACTTTGTCCCAGGAATGGCACAGAGCTTCAGAAATCTTGGGATTTCTAAAGTGCCGAAAAGACATTAGGAATGTCTTGTTATTCACAATCACAATGAGCCCCTTGCCACCAAACCTGAGTTTATCCTAATGGGGTGACTTGGGGTGGGCCCTTAGGTATTTTAAGGGAGGGCCCCTGTGAAAAACAATGACATGGTTAGAGGGTTGCAACCTCAGTCTCTCCCTAACCAAGGAGGAAGGGAGCAGAGAAGAACTGGAGACTGAGTTGCATTAAGTGATAGATGATTTAATCAAATATGCCGAGTCATAAGAACCTTACCTCCAAGCATGAGCGCTTGCACGCGCACACACACACACTCGGAAGCTTAGCAGGAGGGTGACTCCTGGCAATGAACACAGCACCCCTCTCCCCCCCACCCGACCCTAGGCATTGCTCCATCTAACTGCTTCAGAGCTGGACCCTTTACAGTCATCCTGTAATCAGAGTAACAGCCTTTCAGTGAGTTCTTCAAATTGTTCTAGTGAATTATAGAAATGGAAGGGGGGAAGGTTGGTGGCTGGAACCTCCAAATTCATAGCTAAGTCAGTCTGAAGTACAAGTGGCCTGGGGGTCCCACTGGTTGCCCTTTCCCTCAGAGTAGCGAGTGGCAGGATGAAGTTGAAGGACACCCTTTCGTCGGTGCCAGTGAATCAGTGGCAGAACAACAGCACCAGGCAACTTCTACTCTTGATTTATTTTCTTTTGAAGGACCACTCGATGAAGCAGACATTATTGTCCCAGTTTTACAGATAAAAAAGCTGATGCTTGCCCATGATCACACAGACACCAGTGGGGTCAGGATCTCAACCAGGACCCAGACTCTCTGGCTCTGGGTCCTGCACGTCTCCACTCAGTGGCCCCATGTACCTGTTGAGCTGCTGTGTAGAAGAGGGATTAGCTTGATTTTTTAGAGACGCGGGGGCCAGAACTAGAAAACTAAGTGGCTGGGACAAGCAGGTAGATTTTTAACTGAGGTTTTGGGGGAGATCTTGCCAACAGCCAGAACTGCCCAATTCAGGGAAGATGGCACAGGCTGCTGTGTCTGGTGGTGAGCTCTCTCCTCAGAGTCAGAGTGAGTACAGGGTGCTCTAGAGGGACTTCTGCCTCTGTGAAAGGGTTGAGCTAATGACCTCTGATATCCTTCAGATTCCATGGTAGCTCTTAAGTCAGCAGGATTGGGGGAGTTCGTGGGGATGATTAAGGTCATCCCCTTGTTGGTGAGATGCAGCCAAGCAAAAAAATGTACCTCTACCAATCCCACCCCCTCCTGCCCCCACCTCCTCACCACCCGAAACTACCAATGAATTACCAGGAGGCTGGACCAGCCTTGCGCAGGCTGCCTCTTCTCAGTGCTCAGCCTGCACGCCCGCTTCTGCTCTCAGGGACACTGACCACATTACAAGAACTCAGACATCGAGGCGGGAACTGGAAAATACAAACCACACAAATATCAGGTCTTGTCCGCATTCCTGCGACTTTGCACCCCATTTTTGCAGCACTATTAGGTACTGATGCGTTTGAAGGACTGTTGAAAAATTCTTAAAAATGAGCTTGAAAGATATTGTTATTTTATATCTATAAAGGTGTAAGGAAAGCTTCATTATCTTTATGACAGGGATCAAAATTCCTTTCAGAGAGAGAAACTGGAACACCCTTTTGCTGGGTATTGGCCCTGAGAAGCCCAGAGGACAGAAGCTGCTCTGGGCAAGGAAGGAGTGGAATATGGAACCCCTGAATGAGCTCAGTGGGGTCATGAGCTGCTGAGCTGAAAGGGGTGACCCTTTCCTGACAACACCCCAATACTTCACTAACAGATACTAAACTCACAGATGCTGGTGTGAGTGATTTTGGATGTAGTCCCAGAGGCAGAAGAAGCCTGAAGAATATCATATCCCAGCAAGGTGGGAAGGATTGGGGGTTGCCAGGTCATGAATTAGTAGATTAGAAGATTCCAGACCATTTCATCTAGAGTACCTGGGTAACAGGTCATAAAGTACTCCTGAAGAAGAAATATAAATATCTTACAAACAACAGCAGGTTATTACTTCAAAAACCCTGGGAATCAAGGCCTTCAAAGGATTAGTTACTGAAATTTTTTTTTTTAAAGACAAGTGATATTTGTCCATTTTCACTTGGGTGAAAGATGCAGGGATGCTTGCCTCACCAAGGGCCGTGTGTCTTCCACCCCACCCCACCCCTACATGGCCCTGGGGCCAGACCCTGCCTGTTCTGCCTCCTCAACCAGCCCAGCTCCACCCCTGACCTGGCTGAGCCACAGGGGAGCATTTGGGAAGCTTGTCTCAAGGGGCAAGCTTGTCTCAAGGGGCAAGAAGACTTCACCTTTCGGTCTGGTGTGCCTGTGGGAGTCCAGAACACTGCATTCGTGCAGAGGCCAGCTTCCCAGAAGCCCAGGGATCAGCATTTCAGTGCTGACGTGGCGACTATGCCCAGTCCTGATGCTCACCCCTCTCATTAGGGGCCTGGCAGTTGCTTCCAAAAGCAGTTCTCTGTTCTGCATGTCCAGCTGCCATCTGGGCCCTCCTTCCATTGGTCTTATTTTCTAGCTAGAACAGGGTCACAGTCACCACTTAATGCTACGGCTGTCCACTACCCACCACCACGGAAGCCCTCTCTTCCATGGCTTGCTGGCTCCCGGGTGGGGTTTACTGACATAACTGGATTTTGATGGGTGGTCACTGACCTTCCTAATCTTACCTGGAGCACAAGCCTCTCCCTTCCCAGCACCCCCTGCCAGAGGAGTGAGGTTGCCCCTGTCCATAATCTCCCAAGACTTGAATTTTTTAAGGTCTGAGCTATTTCTTGTGTCCACTTAGAGAATGAATCCTTTGCCCCCGGAAGTGACATTGCCGTGCATAGAAGCAGACATCTCTCCCTCATATAAATATACACTGAACAAAAGAATTCCCATCCTAATCTCCTTTCATATTGAAATTCCACCGCCATATGTTGAATTTTGTTGCTATCCCCTCATTAAAATGAAAATAGGCATGAGAAGAAGGCAAGTGCATTATTTGTAAAATATTCTCCTGTGTTACCCAAACTGTCAAATCTCTGACTACAAATTCAGGCTCAGCAGGGACAGGAGAGGTGCCAGATCAGCAAGTCTTTTTTCTTTTGAAAAAAAAAAAAAAAAGATTTATTTTTATTTATTTATGCATACAAGAACTGGGGTGTAGGCCAGAGGTGCAGGCGGTGAGAGATTCATCAGAGACAGAGTGGAAAGCAGAACAGATGGATCTACTGAAATATACTGCTGAGGGGAGCAGTGGGCGAGACAGGAGAGGTCTGCTGCACCATGTGGGTCAGCTCCCTGGTTGGGGATCTAACTTATGCACAGTGGTTGGCAGTGATAGCTTGATATAGCACTGAGACTTTAACCCCTGTGCCACCAGGGAGGACCCAGATCAGCAAGTCTTAATGAGAAAAAAAGAGAGTGAGAGAGACTGAGGCCAGGGCCCCTAGAACGGGTCCAGCACCTGGGGCAGGGCTGCCATGCTGGGTGGGCTTGGGGGACAATGGCCTGACACCCTCTGAGCCTGCACCAGCTGCAGTATCAAGGTCAGCATCACCACCTGTTCAGCCTTCAGTTTCCCCAAATAGCTCTATGAGAACCTAACTCACCCCAACTTCCAGTTACCCATGCCCTGAGCACATAGCTGAGAAGCAAGGGGTGCCCCAGAGAGTATCAAGTCCCCAGATGCCTGACATCTCCTAGGAGACAGAGCATCTCAGGGCCACATACTCCTTGATCTTGGTATGTAGTGGAGCTGGACTGGGAGGTGGGAAGAGTTTGGATTTGGAGGTCCGTCTCCATTTGGCCACTCACTAGCCATGAACCTGAATAAGTCACAGCTGCTCAGGACACTTTGCCCACCAGGTATCCCATGACCACTTTGAAATCCAGCTGCTAATGCACTGTTTCAGACAACCTTGCACCCAAGCCTCCCTCCCCCAGCCAGGCCTCCTCTGTGGTCTAGAAGGCACACTTGACTCTTCCCCCTTCTCACCTTATGCATCTAACCTGCCACCAAATTCTCTGGTTTTATCTTCTAAAAATCTCCCTGCTCAGAGCACCACACCCTGAATTATGCACAGTCTCCCCATTTCTTTCAAAGTCTTTCACGCAGTCTTTACTCTCCCATCCAATCAGTAGCCAGAAACTTGGTTCTCAAAATGCAGACCCGTGACCCCAGGCAGTGTTCCTCCCTCTCTTTTTATAATTCCTATTCCTCTAGCCAAAGACTAGTCAAATTTAGATTGCATTGCAAAAGTGACAGGTATTCATTTCACCTTAATCCAACATAAAATTTCAATTCTGAATTTGTTTTATCACACTAAACAGATGCTTCATGTTGGAAATTCAAACCCACCCATCTCCAGCCAGGGTCCTGTGGTTTTTCTCTCTGCCCACCTCCTTGCTCTTGAAGATAGCCAGCCTACAGAGAGAGGCCCAATCTCTTCACTGGCGCCAAGCCTGGCCCCTCAGTGCCCTCCTTCTCTCCCTGCCTAGCAGTGCCCTGGGGGCTGTTCCCAGGACCTGGAAGTCACCTCCCTGCCTGGAGCAATGTTGTTGGGCTATCCTCTCCCCCAAGCCCTTGTCTCCTGGGCTCCAGAGTCACCTTTACTCTGTCATTTCACTTAGTCTTCCAGCAACCATCTATTACTAGGAGTTCCTAGCTGGCAGGCTTCTGTCTTGGGCATTTTTCTATTCCTTGTGTTGCCACAGGGCCTGGTGTCAGGTAGAGGCTAAATGAACGTTAGTTGAAGTGAAACTTGATTAACAGTTAATTGAGACAAATTAGACCAGTTCAGCAAAGCAGCACTGTCCAGACCCTGAGTGACCCCAGAGCTGAGTGAGGCCACAGGGGAGCTCATGGTATAGTGTGGGAGAGAGCCCTAAGCAGCCCATTGCAGGGTAAGGTGCTTAGCATTCATGGAGGCAGCATGGCAGGTGCCCTAGTGCCTAAATCACCTCCCCTAAAAACAGAAATGTTCTTTTGTTATATAATCCAAATGACTGGGTCCCCTCCGGCAGCCATTCTTCTTGCCTATTTTGGAGCAGAATTCCAACAATTAATTACAACTCTCACACTAACAAATTCAGTTCCACAATGTTACATTGATTATGGGGAGACAGAGAAGATAATATACATCTCCCACCAGCACTACAAATCCTTGACTCTCCAAAGATCAGCCCTGTCCCTCACCTGCCTCATCTCTCCCCTCCAGCAGCCCCTCCTCTGCTCTTTCTTCACTCTTTGAGGGGGGCGGGAGGGTGAGCCCTGGAGGAGCTCTCTCAGCATCTGCAGTCTGCATCCTCGCACCCTTGACACTTGCTCAGTCAATTCTCTGCTTCAGAGTCACCCACTGGGTCTGTAAATCACTAAAGATGTTCTCTGTCATGGCTGTCTTCCTCCCTGTCCCACTGAAGACCAGGTACATGTAAATCATTGGAGTATGAAATCACATTTCTATGGATTGTTCCCTGTAGCTCTAAGGGGAACAGAAGGTCTAGAAGAGGAGTAACAGATGCCCAAGTTGTCTGACTTTTTATTAAAATCTGTTTAAGCTCCATGCGCAGAGGAGAGGCGGGTGCCTGTCTCCTGCCTCTTCAGTGGGCGGTCTCCAGACAGGAACAGACAGTCTGTGGCACCTGGCACCCTAAGCCCAAAGTGGAAAACTGCAAGTTGTCATCTCCCAGCTGCTCTCACCACTGCCACAGGCACGGTAGCCTCCTCCTGCTGCTGGCCTCTGAAAGCCCCGGCCCCCAGACCCCTGGCCAATGCTTGGCAAGGACAGCATATCTGCTTCAAGTCTTAGACTCGAAGTCAGAGCTGAAACTCACCCGATCCCTGAAAGAAACTTCCAAAAGCGAGGGAGAAGGCAGTCTGGCCTTGCTGCTGTTACCTTGCAGAGTAAATGGAACAGCCTGAATAAAGGGGCTGGACCACACCCTGCCTGGCCTGCTCAGATAAAGAGCCAGCCCAGGCCTCTGGGCGGGGGGGATTATGGGTAAAACTTATCATCATCTTCTTCACATCCTTCGGAATTTTCCAACGTTCTACATTAGGTATTAACTGCTGTGACCATTTAGGACAAAAAAAAAATAGTTTAAAAAAACAAAGGGAGAAGGAGGTAGGAGAGAGATAATAAAGTTTCCTGGGCCTCCCCAGTGGCGCAGCGGTTGAGTGCTGGGTTGCGAAGCTGCCCGCACCTCTGCAGCGCCGGTTGAATCCCCGGCTGCTCCCAGGCCACAGGAGGAGGGTCCCACATGGCGCACAGACCTCTCCTGCCCCCCGCTGCTCCCCTCAGCAGTGTACTTCGGTCCTTCTGCCTGCTCTGCTCCCCACTCTGGCTCTGGTGAATTCTCTCACCCTCCCGCGCTTCTGACTGTACCCAGTGCT